GACCTTGGTTAAGAATAATGTATCAATATTGGTTCACTAATTGTAAGAAATGTACCATACTACTGCCAGTTGTTAACTGTGTGAGTATAAGGGGTAGGGGGTGGATATGGGCATTCCCTTCTACTCTTTGCTCTGCTCAGTTTTTCTGTAAATCTAAAATTGTTCAGAAAATTATAGTTTATTAAAAAATTAAACACGAGGAAAGGGGACTAGTAGCCAAAAAGTAGAAATTCAAATGTCCATCAACTGATGAGTAGAATAAAATATGGTCTATAGAATTTTATTCAGCAATAAAAATAAACAAAATGCTGATCCATGCTACAATACGGATGAACCTTGAAAACATTATGGTAAGTGAAAGGAGTCTGAATGGGCAAACCTTTTGGAACAGAAAGTAGATGAGTGGTTGCTGGGAAATAGGGGCAGGAGAAATGGAGAGTAACTGCTAACAGATACAGTCTGAGAGCTATGAAAATGTTCTGGAATTAGACAGTTGTAATGGTTGCTCCTTTTCCTGGGGACATACTAAAGCCAAGGGTAAGTTTTCTGTGAATTATATCTAAATAATATTGATGTACAAAATGTTATTTAGTTGTGTCAGTGGCTCTTTGCGATCCCATGGATTGTAGCCCGACAGATTCCTCTGGCCACAGGATTTCTCAGGCAATCCCACTGGAGTAGAGAAGCCATTTCCTCCTTCAGGGGATCTTCTTAACCCAGAGACTGAACCCACATCTCCTGAATTGCGGATTCACTTCTTTCAATATCACCTCCATGTCTCCTCCACAGGTGGATTCTTTACCACTGAGACACCTAGGAAGCCTATACAAAATACATCAATGTAAAAAATACAGAGCTGTATCAATGAAAGGAAATTAACTGAGTTCTTTGGAAACAAATCAAGTTTATTATGGCAAGTAATTCTTTAAGGAAAAAAAAAAAAACCACGGGAGAGGCGACTCTCTGTCCCATCTGATTCTTTAGTGTTGCCTTGCTTTGTGCTCATGAAACACTGAAACATTTAACATGGGACCCAGTGCATAGTGGGAGATTACGTCTTTCCTAACACTGAATAGGCTTTTTTCCTGAACAAATCTATCAGGGCATCACAAACACCATCCATACTACTTAGAAAAACCAACCTTTCTAAACTACTATACATAAAAGATACGAATCTAATTTCTCTCCATTTCACTATGAAAATTAAAGGCAATTTGGTTATTGGAAGTTAAGGTTGATTCTAATATTAGGACATTCTGAGAAAAAACAAATCTTGTTCTCCCTTCTCATCACAGTAGGCCAAGTTGCTAGACATTCAAAGACAGAATTCACTTCTTTCAATATCACTTCCACATTGTATGGCATTCCTAGAACTGGGAAAGGCCTTTCAAAGAAATCTAGAAGTACAGTTTTCCACCTACACTACTAATCCAAAGGAGATATTTATTCAATTTGTAGCCAGCAACCAAGCCCACAGATGTTTAAAAGCCTTTTAGCTTTATTTTGCTGGTAATTCCCTTCAAACTTCGTAGTCTAGGAATTAGAGACCCTTTCAATCCCTGGTCTTCCCTCACCTCTGGGATGGCTCTTCCTGCAGCTATCTTAAATTCAGTACCAGTGTTCTTGCCCTTTCACTACAAGCTGGAAAGGCCTAGGAAGAACCATTTGTTTTAAGAAGTTGTGCAGAACCCTGAATATTTATCAAATCTTGCTGGAAAAGAAGAATTCACATTTACTGAATCTCTATATTCAGGGTGCTTTAAATATAATCCCTGGAACAATTCAGAGATTTGCATTTTACCTCCATTTTATGAATAAGGAAGCAAGGGCTCAGCGAGATTTGGTAATTTATCCTATATTACTCAGTAAACTATAAAGTTACAAATGAACTATGCCTAAACCATGATTATCGTCATTACCCTGAAATCACAATACCCTGAGCATTTTCTATGGGTAGCAGAATAATGGCCCATGTTATTAAACTGTTAGATTTCCATTATAAAAATAAAATCTCTTGAGGATATAGATTGATGGCTCCAAAGCCCTCTGAAGTGTAGGTTAAACTGGTAATGTCTCTGATGAATGAAAAATTTCACTTTGGAAAAATAAGAACAAAGAACATAACAATATATTTAAAAGAACATATAAATAACATAAAAATACAGTTTAAAAAATTTAAATTAAAACAGTAAGATGCCAGTCCATCCAGAAGGGCAAAGGTTAAAATGTGTTAAGTAGGTTTGTAAAAATGGTTAAGTAAGTTAGGTTAAGTAAGGTTAAAGGTTAAGTAAGTAGGTTTGGAAAAATGGGTACTTTCATATACACCTATATCACAGCAGAAAGGTACCTCCATTTGGGAAGGCAATTTATCTATCAGTATCTATTAAGAACTTTTAATGTGCATATCCTGGAAGCCAGTGATTCCACTCTTACATATCTCTTCTAGAGAAACACTTGTCACATAAAAACAAAGAGGCAAAAAAAAAAAAAACAGAGGCACACATAATGTTCACTGCAGCACTGTTTGCAATGTCAAAAACAGAAACAATTAGTTCATTTGTCACAGCAATCAACCACATCACTTGTCCAGCTCAAAACCCATCAGTCACTTCCCAGGGCTTTCAGAATAATCCAAATGTTTTCCTCTTTACCCCAAATCTTTTCCTCAGAAGCAAAAGGCCTGGCCCTGGCTTACAACTCCAATCCTATCCCATACCCATCTCATGCCTGGCTTTCTCACCTTCCATCACCCTCGCCTTCTTCATGGTTTTCCAGCACGCTACACTGGTTCCCATGTAAAGGCTATCTCCACTGCTCGCTCCTCTGTGTAGAAACTTCTCCCTGACTTTGCATGAATGACTCCTTTTAACTCTAGTCTCAACTTAAAAGCCACCTCTGGCAACCTGGATGAATCTTGAAGGTACTATGCTAAGTCAAATAAGTTACAGAAAGACAAACACTGTAGGATCTCACTCATATGTGGAATATAAAAAACAGACATAATAAATGAGCGCAACAAACCAAACAAAATGAACACATGGATGAAGACAATGGTTACCAGAGGCGAAGGGGATCAGCTGTATGGGGAAGGATGGAAATCAAATTTCTGCTGGTGAGCACACTGTAGTGTATACAGAAGTGAAAATATAATGTACACACAAACCTAATACAATGTGAAAAATGAATTTCACCTCAATTTAAGAAATAATTTTTTTTAAAGTATGACAATTCTGCCTAAATTATACTATAGATTCAATGCAATCCTAGTTAAAATTCTACCAGGCTTTTTGAAGAAACTGACAAGTTAATGACAAAATTTATATTGAAAACAAAAATATCTAAAATAACTATAACCCTGAAAAAGAAAGAAAGAACAAGATTAGAATATTTACATTACCTAATTTCACAACTTACTCTAAGGATAAAGTTACCAGGACAGTGTGCCATAAAAGAGAAAAAAAAAGAATGATTCAAGCTGTCTGAAATATATTCTCAGTAAAATAACATACCTTCTTTTTCTCATATTTTCTAACAAGCTTAATTTTGTTCATTTTTATTCTTCAGCATTTCAGAATGTCATTGTGATTTTTAAGACATCTTTATTTATTCATTTTTGGCTGTGCGGGGTCTTTATTGTTGCATGCAGGCTTTCTCTAGCTGCAGTGAGTTGGGGTGGCTTATTGCGGTGGCTTCTCTTGTTGTGGAGCACAGGCTCTCAGAGCCCACAGGCTTCAGCAGTGGCACATGGGCTCAGTAGCTGTGCTGCATGGGCCCAGCTGCCCACGGCATGTAGAATCTTCCTAGACCAGGAACTGAACCCGGGTTCCCTGCATGGGCAGGCGGATTCCTAACCACTGGACCACCATGGAAGTCTCATTCTGATTTTTTAAACTTATTTTTAACTAGAAGATAATTGCTTTACATTTTGAGAACTTCATTGTACTTTTCCTGAACCTTCATGTCATACATGGTAGTGGTTACGGAATAACTCAGTTTCATTTTCTTTCTCCTTTGAATGTTTCCTAAAATGTTTCTCTTTGTTCCTCCTCTCAATGAATTTGTTAATTCATAACATGTTTGAACTCAAGTATTAACTTAAATAAATTCTACATCCCTTTGGTGCAATGGGGAAAAAAAGACAATGAATCAAAATAATGTCCACAGAAACACACACACACAAGTGATTTTTAGCAAAGGTGCAAAAAGCTTATTCAAAGGGGAAAGAGTTTTCAAGACATAACAATAGAACAATTAACTTGAGATGGATTGTAATACTAAACGTGAAGAGCTAAAAATTATTAAGTTCCTGAAAGAAAATATAGGAAATATCTTTGTGACACCAAGATTATCAAAAAGTTCTAAAACAGGGCACACACATGCTCAGTTATTTTGACAGTCTTCTGATATTTAACAACCATTAACTCTTCTTTTAATTCCACCTCATGCCTTTCTCTTACTATCTGAATATAGTTATGCTGACCTGGCCTTCATAAGGAATAGGAGAAAAGTAATCCAATATATACTTACTTACACATCTACTATTTATATAAAGATAGTTAAATTATCAAAAGTTATCTGTAATTATATTTAAAGTACCCTGTCACTTTTTAGTTTACATTGAAAAATAAAGAAGTTCAAAAAACCCAAGATGGATTTAATACCAGCAGTAAAATCTACTCTAAAATTAAAATTTCTATAATTGAAATCTTTGAAATATATTGTGAAGTGAATGGCTGAAGTTCCATTACACTGACTACCAATAAGGCTTAGAATCTGACTCTAAGAATAAGAGAGAGTCTCAAATAATTTCTCTGACTCAGAAATTACAAGTAATTTCTTATAAGTCTCTACCACAATAAAGCTCTTATTTCCCTTAATAAAAATAGTGACATTATTTGTTTTTAAAAATTTTTGCTATTAACAATAAAATTACATCCAAGCAATCAGCTAAAGTTCTAAGGGAAAATGATAATGCTGAAATAAGAATAAGTTTTACCATCTTTAAAAATTCTTTTTAATTGGAGGATAATTGCTTTACAGTATTGTATTGGTTTCTGGCATACATCAACATGATACCACTATTACTACTAAAATTTCCATGGGTGAGAATTTCAGCATATGTAAACTCCAAAGATAAGTTTGCGAATCATCTGTCTACAAAAAAAAAGTCATAGGAAATTACGTTTTATTGAATGAATGTCAAGGGTTTTATATTACTGATTTACTATATTTATGTTTTCTGTAAAATAAATACTATTTTAAAGGATACACTGTAATTCATAGGAAAAGTAATGCAAAAAATAGATGCTTGAAATACATCCAACAGGAAACTTATTCTCACTTTTATCATCCGTCCCTTTTGGTGATGCTTCTAGTGTTATGGACAAACTTGATCCTCTTGGAAATGTGTTGCCCATCGCTTTTCTGTTTCAGTCACAGTAGCTATAAATAGTTGTTTAAGAATATCCTTATCTAAATTTCTGCCTGTAAACAGAACAAAATATGGTATGATTATATTATGCTTATTAAAATGACACAGTTTACCTATCAAGTCTAGACCATTAAATGCTTGATAATCTTCAGAAATTTACGAAAACAATGGTAATTAGTGCATCCTTCCCTAACTTTCTTAATTAAGTCCCTGAGAACCAAGCTGACATTTTGATTAATCACTTTTCTAAAATTATTTGAAGAAGAGTAAAGGGCAGGACTTCTCTAATGGTCCACTGGTTAAGAATCTGCCTGCCAATGCAGGGGACACAGGTTCAATCCTCCTTCAGAAGATCCCACATGCTGCAAAGCAACTAAGCCTACAAGTCACAACTACTGAGCCAGTGCGCTACAGTCTGTAAACCTCAACAACTGAAGCCCACCACAATGAGACATCCACGCTCCACAACTACAGAGCAGCCCCTACCTGCCACAACTAGAGAAAGACCACATGCAGCAACAAAGACCCAGTGCAATCAAAAATAAATAAGTGCAAATAAATAACAATAAAAAAGCTCTGCTTTCTATTTAAAAAAAAAAAAGCAAAGGACTTAACAAGTCCTTATGATGTTATCACATAATTAGCACAAATACATTAACCACAAGCTTATTTGAATTTACAAAAGAAGTTCAGGTTGGCTAGCACTGCTTAGGTAGAGCATTATAGCCCTCTATTTTTTAAAAAATATTTATTTGTTCATTTATTTGACTGTATTAGATCTTAGTTGTAGCGTGCAGGAACTCTTAGCTATGGCACATAGGATCTAGTTTTCTGATCAGGGATTGAGAGCGCAGAGTCTCAGCCACTGGACCACCAGCGAAGTCCTTTTTTTTTTTTTTGCTTTAGAAATTTAACTGTCTATAAGGGGAAAATATTTGAATAGATATGTATGTACATATATATATATATATATATATACACATTACTTTGCTGATTACTTTGTTGTATGCCTAAAAATAACACAACATTGTAAATCAACTATATCTCAATTTTAAAAAAAGTTAACTGTTGGTTACTTACCAATAAGGACTAATCGATTTGTTCTCTCACTGTCATCTTCCCAGTTCACTGGTGTCTCCTCCAGATCATATAGCTCATGGACACCTTGGACAATCACTTGTCGTGGTTTGTCTTTGATTGACACTAGCCCCTTCTCAGAGGAGAATAACCAATCAGTCACAGTTTGAATTTAAAAGCAGAAATTGAGCACCAATGTTAATGCATTAATTATCCCTATTTCTTTTTAAAATACAGAATATAAAGAACATACTGTTAAAATTCCTTAATTTCAGTTATTTGTGCATTAAAGTTTCCTAAAGCCTCCAATTTTTAAAACATGTTTCCGCATACATTAATTTTTTTAAAAAATCCCTACTTCTAATGATAAATATATGTATTATGATGTGTATTCAGTGTTATCACAACGAAAAACTGAAACTAAATGATAAAACATGTTATGTATCAAATTCTACCGATTATTCTACTTTTAAAGACTTTATACTTATTTCCATTTTAGTAGGAAAATTTGAGATGTTTAAAGGATTTTGATGATAATATGTTTTTCAATGAGTTGCATTAAATGAAGTAGATAATGATGAAATAAAGGAAAAGAAAAACTATTTTATTTATCTGGATAAAATCCACTTTATATTGATTTGTAGAAAGAAAGAGCAAATTATCTAATAAACTGGCTCCTATGGGGATGATATAATTTCTCTGAAATAGTGTTTATTAATTATACATATTTATTATAAAATAATACAATATTGAAAAATAATAAGAGACAAACCACTGTCATTACCACCTCACAATTCCTGTGTATTTTTGGTAATATTCATGTATTTTGGGTGTATGTTCTTCCAGTTACTTTTTCTTGTGCTGTTTCATTTTCTGCTTTTTAAAGTTGAGTTTTAATATGTAAGAACAAACATTTTGAAAATAATTACCTAAGCATTAATTTTATACGTATATAAAGTCTTTGAAGTATCAGCTGTTACTAGAGTTCACATTTTAAACATATTGATTATTATCAGACTAATACTCCGTAAGAGCAAAGAGAAGGAACTCTATGAAGAGAAACGCTATGTTGTCTCAGATGCCCCAGTGTTGCTGTGATGAGAGGAAGGCCAAAAGGAGAACCAAAGAAAGGAAGAACCAGAGAAAATATCACATATCTAAGAACAAAATCCAAACTGGGATGGTGCAAAATGAGCCACCGAACTCTCTACAGAGTGGTATATGTGACTGCTTAATTTTAGGTAACCACCCTACACTCACCAGGGATGCAAGGAGTTACAGAAAGAAATATGATCTTTCAGTTAGGATCATAGAATGCAGATGGGGACAGAATCACAGAGAAGTAGCAGACCTGGCTTAGTTCCTCTGGGTGGGAATGATTGGGGAGTACACTGGGATTCACCTGTGTTCCTTTGCAGTGCCAAACCCAGGTAGAGCCCGCACAGGAGGTAAAGAAATCTAAATATTTTCCCTGTCACTCTAGTGACCCCAGGAAGTTGGATGCTAACCAGAGAATCTAGTTACTAACAATAATGATAATAAACAGCATTAATAAAACCCTAAGCACACTTCTGGAAACATAAGACTGCTGACTGGTTAAGCACACAACCTACAACCCACTGCTCCCTGGAAAAAACACCCTGTGTGACATAATAAAGTCAGATAAACATGAACGGATTTCCAAACATAGAACAAGAATTCTTTTAGTCCTTCATAACTTTGTTGCACTGTATATCAGATGTTCAGTGTCTGCTAAATGCATCAAGAAGCATAAGATTCGGCTGTGGCAAGCTTTCTTCTGTTAATGAAGCTCTCTTAGAGTAACACAAGAAAACATTCTGTTTTCTCTGACTGACCACAAGTTGTTACGCCAAGAGGAGGGAAATTTCAACAAGTCAAGCTCATTAGCCAGATAACTGCTCAGAGCACCTGGGAGTAGAGAGCAAGAGGGGATGTTCCAAGGCATGCAGGTTGTTTAGCTGCAGCACCTGGTGAAGCTGTGCAAATAAATCATGCTTTTATGCAACTATGCAATGACTTTCAAAGCTTCTTTTCAGAAATGGAAATAAGGAAAAATGAAAACACACAAAGGTTATTTGAACTAAACCTAGTACTTGTGTTTTTGACTAACTATGGGGGCTTTTTTCTAACAGCCAAGAAAGGGACTTTGTCCAAAAGTATAAAACCATAAGCTGTGTACCACACCTTCAGTCGTATGACCTCCATGCAGTCGTCATCCCTGTTCCTCACATTCTTTTCCCACAGAAGATTCTGTATCAAGTGACATATTTTAATAAGATCAACCACTGCTCAGAGGAACAGCTAGATGACAAAACAATTGATAAATCATTAATAAGTTAAAAGTGCATTCACCTGAATATAAACATTTAGACTTTCTTCCTCTGCATTTCCTGGTACTTCAAATGTGACTGTAATAATACTCTGTAAATCAAGAGATACTCAATAATGATTTTTTTTATAATAATGTCAATCTATTTTTTTTCAAATCACAAGTTTCAAAATGACAAGTAAGGAAACATTCATGGACATTTGTGTTGCCTTAACAATTGTATTTGGTATATCTTTTTCACCACATTTGTTGATTTTTGAAATCAGCAACTCCACATTCTATATTCTGTAGCTAGTCAATGGTTTAGTATTTACACAGAGAAACTCTTATGAAAAGATACTCATTGTTTAATGCATTCTTTACAAGATTCTCAGGATTAGAGGGAGGTTAATATAAAGAGTGTATCAGCTATGCACTAAATGAGGTACTTTTGCCTGGGTCATTTTATTTCATCTCATCATCTACTCATGACAACAAACCGTGGATTAAAGAGAATGATTTTCCATTTTATAAACTAGGAAGGATGAGGCTCAGAAAAAATAAACTACCCAGAGCCAGGAATAACACTCAAATGCAAAGGTTCTCTGGGAAATATAAATACAAATTGAAAGATTCAGTTTATCTCTAACTGAACATGTTCCAAGAGAAGAAGAGTTCCTAGAGATGAGAATGAGTTTTAGAAAGTTGACATCAACATTTACAGAATGTTAACTTTGAGATTTATTTTTTCTCCTGATCTTGATAAATCTCTCACTGACCACTCTAAGGAATCAGAAGCTTAAGATTTCCTCTAGCTGAGCACATAATTAAAATCCAAACCTCCATTTGCCACAGTAACCCAAAATTTTAAAATTAATGATAAAAATACACAGGAGCTAAGCATAACACAACAAAAGCAAAAACCCCATCTTGGAGAATAAGATGCTCAAGCCAAGCTTTAAAACAGACAGAAAGAATACATGTAATACAGCATTGCATAATTGCCTAGAAACACATATCTTAACATTACAAATCACACATAAAAATCCATACCAAAATGTATAGCAAGTCATAAAGCATATCAAAATACATAGCAAAAAGACTGCCAAATGAAACATAATTTGTTAATTTCAAAAGACAGCAGTAATTTAACCTTTAAAAATGCTTATTCAAGTTGGATAACTTGGCTTTTAATGTTGGGAATGTCTCAATATAGGACTCAATACTGTACCAGGAATTATTTTTGCTTTTGGCAAGTTAGAGATATGATGGTATTTCTAAAGAGTGCAATTAATTCCAATGTGAAATTTTTTAAAAAGTTTTTAAAAACTAAAATGATGCATCATGGGACTCAAGGGAGAGAGACATTTTAGAACCAGATGTTTTTCTGTACCAATAAACTCTTCTCATATTAGACAAATCCTAAAGAAGATGAAGTGGCTCAGTGGTAAAGAATCCACCTGCCAATGCAGGTTCAATCCCTGGCTCAGGAAGACTCCCTGGAGAAGTGAAAGTGAAGTCCTTCAGTCGTGTCTGACTCTTTGCGACCCCATGGACTGTAGCCTACCAGGCTTCTCCATCCATGGGATTCCCCAGACAAGAATACTGGAGTGGGCTGCCATTTCCTTGAAACAGCAATTCACTCCAGTATTCTTGCCTGGGAAGAATACTGGACCGAGGAGCCTGGTGGGCCACAGTTCATGGGTTGCAGAAGAGTCAGACATAGCAATTAAACAACAATAAAGAAGATGAAACCCATAAATGTGCAGTGCAGAATATTAGGGTCTCAACTCAAGAGTTCACCACTGGCTCTACTAATAAGTATACATAGATTGACACCTGGGTTTTCTCATCTACCTTTCCCCATTCAAACCCAGTTCCTCTTTATCAGAATGAACAAGAAATCCCTGAAAAACAAACAAATGCATTAAACATCATTCAGGGATAAAACTTTAATGACACACATAATATGTTCTAGGTATTACCCATTTCAGACTTTTTCCAGTTTATTTGAATCTAAAATTAACTCTCCTTTTCCTGTACACAGAAAGAAGCAGAAAACTGAAGCAGTAATTTAGAAGACTAAAGCAAAATAAGGTACTGCCCCTAAAATAAAATTTAGGAATAACTCTTAAATATTAGGATTTTGGTCTGTTTGTTCTTTAACCTACCGGGTTATCTCCCTCACTTTCCCACTCTTTTGCAATCAATATCTAACATGTAGTAACATGCAGTAACTTCTGTATCTTTTTTTATCTGGAAAACTAAGCCCACTAATGTGCTTAAACACAAAATCCCTTTCTCCACACTCCACTCCTCTGGCTTCTTTCCCTGTGACACCTCTGCTATGATATCCTGCCACCAGGTACACAGATAAACATTTGATGTCTTTATCCAAATCACTCTGCCTTCTAGATTTCCCTATTTCTATTATTAATAATAGGTCCCTTTTGTCCATTTAGGCTTGTTTCCCATCACCTCCATCTTTCCTTCCTGCTCACCATCAGTTAGTAAGGCTATCCAAGCAAGCCGACCTGTTTAACAGTGCTCACTGTCTACCATTTCCATTCTTACTGTAAACAACACAGATCAGGCCCTCATCACAGGGTATATGGACTTCCGCAGTATCTTCCTGCTTGGTCCCCTGACTCCACACTCCAATCCAGCTTACTGGACACTGTCTAATAGTACAGAATGAATTCTCTTTGCCTAGCAAATCAAAGCCTAATACTTAAGCTCAAATTCTAATACCAAGCATTCATCAGGACTTCTCTTCTGGAGCACTGTTACTTTCCCACTTTTAAAGATCTGGACTGCTCTTCTCCTTATTTCTTTCAGTCCAAAAGAAAGAAAAAAAAAAACAAAAAAAACAAAAAGCCTCCTTGTTTAAGGTTTCTTGTTGGTGTATAAATCACAGTAGCAGTTACAACTCTGGAAGAAGGGTTAACGACCGGGAAGGGTCACAAAGAAACTCTCTTAACACTTTTGGAAATCTTTATCTTGATCTCAGTAAGAATTACAGAGATATCCGTTCGTGTGTACATACAAATACACATGCACAAATATAAATAAAGATGCACTGACTTGCAAACTAAAAACAAGTATGCTTTACTATACGTTAAAAAAACAAACAAAACAAAAATCTATCTTTCATGAAGCCTCAGATCCAAATGAGACTGTTCATGTAACTGAATCTCACAGTCCTTGGTCTGCAATATTATATTATACTTGGCCCTATGTTGATATACCTAAAGTAGGAAAGTGCATCAGAATCTCCTGTAGAGCTTTTTTAAAAAAGAAAGAAGGACAAAGATTGGAATATCACATTTCTTGATTATAAACTATACTACAAAGCTACAGTAAGTTCTACAGAACTGATATAAAAACAGACACATAAGGAAATAGAATAGAGAGCCCAGAAATAAATTCACACTCATATTGTCAATCAATTTACAACAAAGGAGGCAAGAACAGACAACATGGAAAAGAGTCTCTTCAGCAAATGGTACTGGAAAAACAGAACAGCTACAGGCAAAAGAATGAAACTAGACCACTTTCTTATAACACAAACTTGAAATGGATAAAAGATTAAATTTAAGAGCTAAAACCAAAAAAACTCCTAGAAGAAAACAGAGGCACTACACTCTTTGACATAAGTCTTGGCAATTATTTTTTTGGATCTATTTCCTTGGATAAAAGCAACCAAAACAAAAGAATGGAAATACATCAAACTAAAATATTTTTGCAAAGCAAAAGAAACCTTCAACAAAATGAAAAGGCAATTTGCAATTGATTTGTCTAACACATGATTAATATCCAAAATACATAAAAAATCATACAACTCAGTATCACAAAAAACCCAAACAATCTAATTCAAAAATGAGCAGAAGACCTGAACAGACATTTTTGCAAGGAAGACATACAGATGGCCAACAGACACGTGAAAAGATGCTCAACATTACTAAGCATCAGGGAAAAGCAAATCAACCACAATAAGATATGACCTCACATTTTTCAGAATGGCTATTCTCAAAAAGACAACAAATAATAAGTGTTCGTGAAGATGTGGGGAAAACAGAACTCTCATGCACCATTGGTAGAAACGAAAATTGGCACAGCCACTATGGAAAACAGTAATGAAGCTTATTCAAAAACATAGGACTACCATTTGTTGTTGTTCAGTAGCCCAGTCATGTCCAACAATTCCACTTCTAAGAAAATGAAAACAGTAGTTCAAAAAGATACACGCCCCTTAATGTTCATTGAAATACTATGTATTTACAATTGCTAAGATATGGAGACAGGAATCTTAAGTGGTCACCAAGAAATGAATGCATAAAGAAGATATGGTGTGTGTGGGTGCATGCACAGATGCACATATGTATGTGTATACATACAACAGAATATTACTCAACTATAAAAAGACTGAAATCTTGCCATTTGTGACACTACGGATGGGCCTACAAGTCTTATGTTAAGTAAAATAAATCACACAGAAAAAGATAAATACCATGAATTCACTTATATGTAGAAACCCAAAAAGCAAAACAAATGAACATGTGTAACAAGACAGAAACAGACTCATAGATAACAGAGAACAAACTGGTGGTTGCCAAAGAGAAGGGTCAGGGGGATAGGCAAAACAGGTGAAGAGGGCTAAGAGATACAAACTTTCAGTTGTAAAATAAGTAAGTCATGAATATTCTGTTAAGAAAAGTTTCTCAGAGGAAAATGACACAAATGTGGTAGTATAGCTCCCCATAAATATGAGCCAAAATGAAGACGGATAAGTATGCTGTTATTGTGGCCCTATTAAAATTGATTCAAAAAATAAGTGACAGTCTCGAGGAAAAGGAGACAATGCAAGACACGCTACGCACTCACAGGCCCCTTCTCAGCGTTTACACGGAAGAGAGACGTTACCCGTAAGTGCCACTGTCCACAAGTTGCTTTAAAAAAGGTGGGTACAGTGAAAATACACTTTGTTCTGAGCATCTTTCCTGCCTTTCCAAAGTCAGTTTTTATTTAAATAAGCCATGGATGTCTATTCCAGACTTTTCCTTAATCAGTTAGTTAAATATACTTAAAAATAGGTTGCATAAAGAACCCCTAGGCCACTTTTATATAGTAATTCTCATCAAAAGAAGTAATCAGAATATGTTGACTGCCATGTAGAACGGAGAAGCCAGAAAGCATGATTTTCTAAGATTTTAAATAATTCTGGTTTGATGAACTCTTATTACACATTAAGAAGCTAGATCTATATGATGACCTCAAGAACATTTAAATTATGAAAACTATCAAAACAGTTAAAATATGCTTTTTAAAAAAGAGTTCTAATAAAACAATTCTAAACAGAACAAGGTAGTTAAAGATGATTTTTTAAGATTTTTTTTTTTACCTGATCAAGATGAGGTTGTGTTGCTGGCACATGTTGAAGTTTTTTCTGCAAACTAAGAATAACTGGTTATAAATTCAGAGCTCAACATATTTCTCATTTCACCTTATATATTACTTAGAGACAAAGCTAAATAGGAGAGAACTTCCACAGCTGAATCTGTTACATAGTTCCAATTTTACATGCTGTTTACATATTCTAATAGACAAATGCTAGGAGACTGCTTACAAACCCCTCATAAAAATGTACATTCATTGACATACATACATATACACACAATATAGAGAAAAACTAATCTTAACTATTTTATGTAGTTAAATACTTTTCTTCTTATTTCCAAAAGACCTAAAATAGGCCTAGGAAAATATACCTAAGCATTTTACAACTGCTGAACATTTCATCTACTCTCCCCGTGAAAATAATGCTTGAACCTAAAGAAAATTAGAAGAGTAAGTTTTTTCCATATCAATGTTTTCCCTTGAATATATCTACTTTAAAAAAATTAACAGTATCCATGAACATAAGCCTTCTATTCAGTCAGTTACCAGTGGCTGACAGAAAACTAAAAGACTCCTAGAAATGCATTGTTCTGATATAAAAGAAGCTAAAGATCAATATGCCATAACGAACTACAACCATAACAACTGCAGCATACATTCAGAGACGGACGGGGGTAGGTTGGGAGGAGGAAAAGGACTTAAAACCTTGCAGATGTTTTGCCTTGGAGAACAGTGAGGGGTAAATTAGTAACAGCAAGTTTAGGAAAGAGAAAAGGCTAGTAGGAACTGTTGAAGGGAATGAGTGTCCTTGGGGGGTCTCAGTAGGGACAGTGTCAAATTAAATCCTTCCCAGCTGGTTGCTCAGGAAAGGATTCTCCTGTTAAGCATCTAAGCAAGAAGAAAAGTTATGCAAAGACCTTACCCAGAGCAGGGCCTTCATGTTAAGTAGTTATTTCTTTTAAGCATCACTAATGCAGTAAGTGTGGAATGAAATTACTTTGGAAACTTTGAAAAAATTCTATGTTCTTTCCCTGCGTTTAATATTTAATATTGGACAATGACTGCCTACAACTTCCACAGGGAAGAAAAAGTTTTCCTCTACCTTTTAAATCCCTGGGTGGGTCTGAAAATTAGACTGACAAAGATTAAGAAGAGAAAAGCATATACATTCACTCAATAAGGGTTTTGGTTGACAAAGAAAAGTTCATAGTGAAATGAAGACCTGAAAAAAGGGTAAACCTGGGTGTTTCTGTGCCAGGTTTGATGAAGAGTGGAAAGCCACAGAGCTATGACAGGACAGAGGATGAGCCAAATGTGGTAAACAACGGGAAACTCAGCAAGGTCTGTGCCCTGAGATTCCCTCCATCATCAGAGATAAGGATGCTCCCTTCCTTTGGGTACAGAGAGGTCACATCTCATATAAGTCATACCTCTCACTATGACTCATCTACTTCAGAGGAAATGGGAGAAAATATTTGCAAACCATGCATCTGATAAGGGGTTAATACCTAAATTATTTAAGAACACCTACATTTCAGCCACACACACACACAAAAATAATAATCCAAATGAAAAATGGGCAAAGTATCTGAACAGACATTTCTCCAAAGACAATATACAAACGGCTAGCAAGTAAATGAAAAGATACTCAATATCTAATTGTTTTAGAAATGCAAATCAAAACCACAACGCATCTCACCTCCATTGGGACAGCTACTACCAAAACCAACAGAAAATAGGAAGTGTTGGCAAGGATGTGGAAAAATAGGAACATTTATGCACTGTTTGTGGGAATGTAAAATGGTGCAGGTGCTATGGAAAACAATATGATGGTTCCTCAAAATATTAAAAATAGAACTACCACATGATCCAGCAATCTCAGTTCGGGCATATATCCAAAGAATTTAAGGCAGGGTCTTGAAAAGGTATTTGTACACCCAACCCATGATCACAGCAGAATTATTCACAATAGCCAAGAGGTGAAAGCAACCTGAATGTCATTATGAATGAATAAATGGATAAATAAAAAAATGACATATACAATGGAATATTATTTAGCCTTAGAAAGGAAGACAATATTGTCACATGCTACAAAACAGACGAACCTTGAGAACTAAGTGAAATAAGTTAGTGACAATAGGACAAATACTGTATGATTTCACTTATTTGAGGTACCTAAAGTTATCAAATTCTTAGAAACAGATGACACAGTGGTAGTTACTAGGGGCTACAAGGAGAGGAAAACCGGGAGTTGTCATCAGACTGGTACAGAGTTTCAGTTTTGCAATATGAAAAAGTAGATCCATTGCGAACAATGTGAATATACCTAACACTATTGAATGAACTCTACAGTTAAAACTGGTTAAGGATGGTTAAAAAAAAAAGATATCAATGACCAGGGAAGGATTATTTGTTCTTTCCCTTATCAAAATGAGTCCCTGGGGAAAGAGATAGGAACCAATCTACAGGAAAAGGAGTGCTTGTGGGAATACCCCAAACTAAAGCTTTCTTTGTATTTCATGTGTTTTCTCATAGGAAGAATTACACACAGTGGTTGGGAAAGAAATATTAACATCAAATCTCTGAAGTTAAGTACCACTTACACTGTAACTTCTGTAGGAAAATACATGTGATTTCCAAACAACCAGTTAGCAAAACTTTCAAGAACATAATCATTAGAAATGATCTAGAACATCAAAGATGTGACAGGAAGCATAAATCAAATGTGCATCTGTATAAATCATTCTTTTAATACCTATAACTGTAGGCGAAAAAATACATTATAGTAAAAATGACCAGAACAGGACAGGAAACATACCTTATTCCAGAGAGACTGTCAAAGGCATGAAGATCTAATACTTTCGCAAGATCAACTCTAAAAGGAAGAACACCAACGTGAAGTGTTAAATTCTGTAAAATACAATTAATAAAGAAAAGCAATCTCTATTTTGCCAGAAATGTAGACATAAAAATTAATTAATATATACTATTTTGGGAAAACATATAACATGACAGGCAAGGAACAAAAAAGCTGTTGTAAAAAATTTCTATGGGATTTATGCATAAAAATTTAAAAACAGAATAAATGGTTTTAGACCAAGGCAGAAAATTATTTTGAAATTGCTTCAATAAACTATAGTGGGGTTTTTGGTTTGTTTTTACTTAAATTGTCTTCTTCAGTTCTAAAAACGAGCTTTTCAAACTAGATTTTTATAGCAAAAAAAAAATTGGTTAAAAAACTGAAACCTTTCAAAAGTAGCAGTTTACTACTCAAAGGATGAAATGAGTGAAATTGAACAAGTGTAAATAACGAAGTGGTATAGGAACATTATCTTTGGAATTATTTTATTTCTTTTACTCCATTTTTCATGATACAAGTAGTATCATAATATAAGCAGTCAAACAATCAATACATAAATATTAACTCTAGGACCCTTAGCTATATCCAAAGAATATGGTTTGATTTTATTTCCTTCAGATGGGGTTGCATATAGACTGAAACTTCCTGTTAGTGCTCTATCTGAATAAACATTATTTCTGTTAAAATTATTTAGTGGTAATTAAGCCTTGTTAGGAAAGCAGAGATTGAAGTCAGAAGAGGTTATCATATCACAATCAGCATTCAGTTAAGTTCAGTTCAGTCGTTCAGTCATGTCCGACTCTTTGCGACCCCATGGACTGCAGCATGCCAGTCCTCCCTGTCCATCACCAACTCCCAGAGTTTACTCAAACTCATGTCCACTCAGTCAGTGATGCCATCGAACCATCTCATCCTCTGTCATCCCCTTCTCCTCTCACCTTCAATCTTTCCCAGCATCAGGGTCTTTCCAAATGAGTCAGCTCTTCGAATCAGGTGGCCAAAGTATTGGAGTTTCAGCTTCAACATCAGTCCTTCCAATGAACACCCAGGACTGATCTCCTTTAGGATGGACTGGTTGGATCTCCTTGCAGTCCAAGGGACTCTCAAGAGTCTTCTTCAACACCACAGTTCAAAAGCATCAATTCTTCAGTGCACAGCTTTCTTTATAGTCCAACTCTCACATCCATACATGACTACTGGAAAAACCATAGTCTTGACTAGATAGACCTTTGCTGGCAAAGTAACGTCTCTGCTTTTTAATACGCTGTTGAGTTTGGTCATAACTTTCCTTCCAAGAAGTAAGCATCTTTTTATTTCATTGTTGCAGTCACCATCTGCAGTGATTTTGGAGCCCCCCAAAATAAAGTATGCCACTGTGTCCACTTTCTCCATCTATCTGCCATGAAGTGATGGGACTGGATGCGATTTTCTTTGTTTTCTGAATGTTGAGCTTTAAGCCAACTTTTTCACTCTCCTCTTTCACTTTTATCAAGAGGCTCTTTATTTCTTCTTCACTTTCTGCCATAAGGTTGGTGTCATTTGCATATCTGAGGTTATTGATATTTCTACTGGCAATCTTGATTCCAGCTTGTGCTTCATCCAGCCTAGCATTTCTCATGATGTGCTCTGCATATAACTTAAATAAGCACGGTGACAATATACATCCTTGATGTAATCCTTTTCCTATTTATAAAGAATAGTGATTGAGTTCCAATTTTTATGCCAGCCTATGAAACAGTAAGGGCTTCCCTGGTGGCCCAGCAGTGGAATCTGCCTGCAGTGCAGGAGACGGGAGTTCCATCTCTGGGTCGGGAAGATCCTCTGGAGAAGGGAATGGCAACCCATTCCAGTGTTCTTGCCTGAAAAGCAGACAGAGGATCCTGGAGGGCCACAAAGTCCAGGGGGTCGCAAAAGAGTTGGACACGAGTGAGGGACTAAACAACAACATGAAACAGTAAAGGACAGTGATTTCTCCACAAACAAAGCTACAATGAAATGTTTGAAGAAAAATGACAAGCAGTAAGATCAGGTTTCAAAACTAAACTCCAGGGATATGCTGAACATTCATTAAATTTTCTGACAAGGAAAATAAGATTTCACTTGAGAAAAATTTTGTCAAAATTTTTTCAAATATAAAAACATGTAAAAATCATCTCCTTTAACTTAGGGCTGACCAGCTGTGTCTGCTTTGTTCATTCTCAATAGTCTGTCATATATTCATACTTATAGCAACAAGAGTCTGTTAAATTATGAACCTTATCCTGAAACAAGGCAGACAAATTCCCACCTTGTTAAAAGAGGGATACTCCAGAGTTCTACGTTAACAGACTGTAATATTTCAAATTCTTGACATTCTAGATGAGCAGAATTAGGAAAATAATCAAGCAAAGAAGTAAATGTTCCATGAAAAAAATTTCTGAATATCAATTTACAGAAGAGACCAAAGCCTTAATATTAAACATACTTCCTTTCATACCATCACAGTTAAGCAAATATTTATACTGACAGGTGACAAGTGAATGAAGTTTTTCACCAAGTTTGTCATCTTTAACTTAGGAAATAGCTTAAAGTTTAAAAAGTTTACACATGCTAATTATGTGAATATCAAAATTCAGGCCAACTAAACACAAGCTTCTAAACAATCTAGTTTTCACCACAACAGTATTCTTGAGAATACAGATCAGATTTAGAGATTATTCTGCTTTATACCCAGATTCTTTTGATATTTCCAAATCAGACGGTATCAATAAAAGATCTAGACAGGATAAACTGTACAGAGAACAAAAAGTACCAAAGTCCCTCACTGTATCTAACCAGATTCTCAATGGAAAGGAAAAGAGAAAAGTCTGAGGTTCCAGATGAAAGTTGTCATGGACTTTCCCCAAATTTAGTACCGCCATCAAAAAACAAATTTCCTCACTTATCCAAGGCATGTAACTAGAAAACTAATTTTCATGGCATCAAATTTTATTTAATTTTTCTCTTCAGAGATAAAAGCAGCAGATCTCTTCCAAAACATTAATATAGAAAAAATAAAAAATAAAAAGACTATTACTATCATGTAAAAACAGAATGGCAGAATGAAGCAAAGAAAGAAGAATAAAGTTCCAAAGCTCATAATTTCTCCTAATTTCTTGAACTATTATGCCAGAAATACCTAATCTTTTCCCTACGAGGAGCTTTCAATTATCCCTATGTCTAAAGACTGCTTTAAGTAGCCTAAAACTAGGAGCAGGAGAATGGAAAAGGAAGAGGGCTCTGGCTCTCTCAGGGGAGGGGAGTTTTCGCTACTACTCCAGAAGTCTTTTCAAAGTTCAGTCAGTCAGACACATGGGCCACCAGACCATCCCAGATCTACGAGTAGTTGATAACATCAAATAGTAAGTCTTGACTTCTAGAGCTAAATTTCCAAATGCCTTCCCAAGTGGCATCTCAAACTCAGTGTTTACAAAATGGAACTAATCCCCTTTACCAAACCCAGTGCTATCACTGTGCTGTGTGTGTCCTAAGTTGCTTCGGTTGTGTCCGACTCTTTGCCACCCCATGGACTGTAGCCTGCCAGGCTCCCCTATCCATTAGATTCTCCAGGCAAGTTGGGTTGCCATGCCCTCCTCTAGGGTATCTTCCTGACCGAGGAATCAAACCCACGTCTCGTGTGTCTCCTGCATTGGCAGGTAGATTCTTTACCACTAGAACCACCTGGGAAACTCCACCCCAAAGTTGCTCCTCCTTTCTGAATCTCCTAACTTGGAGAACAGCACCATATTCACTCCATATCACAAGAGTCATACTGCCTTTAAAACCCTTCATGAATAACTTGCTGCCTACTGTAGAAAATCCAAACCATGCATCATGGCAGTCAATACTCTTTGAGGTAATTTCTTCACCTCCATAGTCATATGTCTTTTCCTCTCTGCAACATAATATTAACACAATGTGTTTTGCCCATTCTAAAATATTCACACCTTCCTGGAATACAAAATCCTTCTTATGCTGAGAAAGACACTACTACTCTGGTCCATTTCAAACTGTTCATGGGGTTCTCAAGGCAAGAATGCTGAAGTGGTTTGCCATTCCCTTCTCCAGTGGACCATGAACAGAGTTTTGCCAAGGGAATGCACTGGTCATAGCAAACACCCTCTTCCAACAACACTAGAGATGACTACGCATGGACATCACCAGATGGTGAATACTGAAATCAGACTGATTACATTCTTTGTAGTCAAAGATGGAAAAGCTCTATACAGTCAGTATACTGTATACAGTATACAAGACGGGGAGTGGACTATGGCTCAAATCATGAACTCCTTATTGCCAAATTCAGACTTAAATTGAAGAAAGTAAGGAAAACCACTAGGCCATTCAGGTATGACCTAAATCAAATCTCTTACAATTATGCGATGGAAGTGACAAGTAGATTCAAGGGATTATATCTGATAAACAGAGTGCCTGAAGAACTACGGACGGAGGTTTGTAACACTGTACAGGAGGCAGTGATCAAAACCATGCCCCCCACAAAGAAATGCATAAAGGCAAAATGGTATCTGAAGAGGCCTTACAAATAGCTGAGGAAATAAGAGAAGCAAAAGGCAAGGGATAAAAGAAAAGATAAACCCATTTAAAGCAGAATTCCAAAGAATAACAAGGAGAGGTAAGAAAGACTTCGTAAGTGAACAATGCAAGGAAAACAATAGAATGGGAAAGACTAGAGATCTCTTCAAGAAAATCAGAGATACCAAGGCAATATCTCATGCAAAGATGGGCACAATAAAGGACAGAAACAGTGTGGACCTAACAGAAGCAGAAGATATTAAGAAGAGGCAGCAAGAATACACAGAAGAGCTATACAAAAAAGATCTCAATGACCCAGATAGACCCAGACATCCTGGAATGTGAAGTCAAGTTGGCCTTAGGAAACATCACTAAAGCAAAGCTAGTGGAGGTGATGGAATTCCAGCTGAACTATTTTCAATCCTAAAAGAGGAGGCTGTGAAAGTGCTGCCCTTAATATGCCAGCAAATTTGGAAAACTCAGCAGTGGCCACAGGACTGGAAAAGGTCAGTCTTCATTCCAATCCCAAAGAAAGGTAATGCCAAAGAATGTTCAAACTACCACAAAATTGCACTCATTTCACATGCTAGCAAGGTCATGCTCAAAATCCTCCAAGCTAGGCTTCAACAGTACATGAACTGAGAACTTCCAGATGTACACGCTGGATTTATAAAAGGCAGAGGAACCAGAGATTAAATTGCCAATATCTGTTGGATCATAGAAAAAGCAAGAGAATTCCAGAAAAACATCTACTTCTGCTTCATTAACTATGCTAAAGCATTTGACTGTGTGGATCACAACAAACTGTAGAAAATTCTTCAAGAGATGGAATACCAGACCACCTTACCTTTATTCCAAGAAATCTATATGCATGTCAAGAAGCAACAGTTAAAACTAGGTATGGAACAATATGAATGTGAATGTGAAGTCGCTCAGTCGTGTCTGACTCCTTGAAAGCCCATGGACTGTAGCCTACCAGGCTCCTTCGTCCATGGGATTTTCCAAGCAAGAATACTGGAGTGGGTTGCCATTTCCTTCTCCAGGAGATCTTTCCGACCCAGGGATTGAACCCTGGTCTCCTGCACTGTAGGCAGACGCTTTACCATCTGAGCCACCAGGGAAGCCTCAATGGACTGGCTCAAAATTGGGAAAAGAATTACATCAAGGCTGTATATTGTCACCCTGCTAATTTATATATATACATATATATATGTATATATATATATATGTATATATATATTTATATACATATGCAGAGTACATCATGCATAATGCCAGGCTGGATGAAGCACAAGCTGGAATCAAGATTACCAGGAGAAATATCAATAACTTCAGATATGCATATGCTACTACTCTTTTGGCAGAATGTGAAGAGGAACAAAAGAGCCTCTTGATGAGTGTGAAAGAAGAAAGTGAAAAGGTTGGCTTAAAACTCAACATCCAAAAAATCAAGATCATGGCATCCAGTCCTATCACTTCATGGCAAATAGATGGGAAAACAATGGAAACAGTGACAGATTTTATTTTCTCGGGTTCCAAAATCACTGCAGATGGTGACTGCAGCCATGAAATTTAAAGGCACTTGCTTGTTGGAAGGAAAGCTATGACAAACCTATGACATTAAGAAGCAGAGACATCTCTTTGCCAACAAAGGTCCGTATAGTCAAAGCTATTGTTTTTCCCGTACTCATATTTGAATGTGAGAACTGGACCATAAAAGAAGACTGAGCACTGAAGAATTGATGCTTTTGAACTGTGGTGCTGGAGAAGACTCTTTGAGAGTCCACTGGATTGCAAGATCAAACCAGTCAATCCTAAACAAATCAACCCTGAATATTCACTGGAAGGACTGATGCTGAAACTGAAGCTTCAGTACTTTGGCAGCCTGATGTGAAGAGCTGACTCACTGGAAAAGACTGTGATGCTGGGAAAGACTGAAGGCAGGAGAAGGGTTTGACAAAGGACAAGATGGTTGGACGGCATCACCGACTCAAATGGACTTGAATGTGAGCAGGCTCCAGGAGATGGTGAACGACAGGGAAGCCTGGCACAGTCCTTGGAGTCACAAAGAGTTGGACATGACTGAGTGACTGAACAGCAACAACTCTGGTCCATCTGGAAAACTCCTATTCGTTCTTCAAGATTCAGGTAAATGATCACCTGCTCAGTCAAAAGTTTCTGACTCTCCACCAAGAAGAGTTGAATAGTTGTTCCTCTATATTCCTATTCTTATAGGATCTTGTGTATTTAATATTCCTATTGTAAAATAGTATTTAACATATTTGTTTTTAATATATTCTAATCTCCTTAAAGGCAGAGTTTTTACCTTATACATTGTTCAAATTGTCAATATACCACGAAATGTATAGCAACTAGTGGAAGGCTCAATAAATCATTGAGTTGATTAACTTATTATCAATCAATTAAACTTTGGCTTTCCTCTGTTCAGTCCACTTAAATTTCCAAGATTAAAAAAAGTCTGTTAAAGAATGGTACTTCTAATCTTCCACACATACTTCTGAGGTCCATTAGAATTTCCATTTGCCTCAAAATCAATTTAAGTCTCACCAATAAGACATACTACACCATTCTTACTCCTTAACTAAATACTCAAGGTAAGCCATTTCTACACATTTTGTAAGTTTTACAATTGCTATACTATTATAAGTTTTATTATTTTTACTATTATAAGGATTTTCCAACCACAAAATGCTTAAGGGATTAAAAAAATTTTAAGTACCATTTCAGAAAGCCCCTGATATCTCAGATGCACTGGCAAACACCAATCGAAGAAACAGAAGCAAAAAGGAGATGTTATTCACTTGTTCATTTATGCATTTGAAATAAAATTTAATCACTGCATGTTTATTGAAAAAATGAGACACCAAATGTTAGGAATATTATATAAACATCAAAACTGTTACAAAATAAACCATTTAAGATGAAATGTTTATGCGCAACATAAAGGTTGAAAATTGAAGTCAATAAAAAGAAAAATTAAGCAAGATAAATCCAAGGGTCTTTAAAAAAATTGGCTTACGACGTTTGTAAAAACAAACCAAATAAATCTATTACAACATAATCACATCTATTTACAGATATGATTTTTAAAACTTAAGCATTATGCTGTTGTCTGTATATTATTTTTTAAGGAGGTGAAAATTTAAGAAGAAAGAAAATGATAAAACGCAACAGGAAGAAGACAGATACTGAGGAATGGCTCATGGTGTAAGTTAGGTCATCAGAGACATTCTACACTGGAATCTGAAATGCAGGGAGTACATGTGGTATATGCTTGTAGAGGACTTAACACTGAGGGCATTCTTCTGCTACTCTTGCCAACAGATGAGAGGCTTCTGAGAATGCATACCAAATTAATTCCCCAGCTGTTCACATGCACAGAAGCAGCTGCTGCTGTTACTGCCTGACACTTATGGCAGTCTGTCAGCACCTCTAATCTCTGCCACAGCAGACAAGCCACTCGAGTAAGGCTGCTGCCAGACTTCCAAAGACAGAATCTCGGAATTAAGAACCAGGTGGCACTAGACGGCCAGCTCTCAGCCTCAGAGCTGCTGGCTGCATGTTGCTGGGTCTATCAGCTGCTGAGCCATTCTTGCTAAAAAAAAAAAATAAGCTTAACAAAAATACTCCTGTACAGAAATTTTCTGAAATCATGACAGCACTCGATACAAAATAAGAGTCCAATCTACAGAAATCCATTTCACAGATGTTTTAAGAACACATCTATTTTATAACATAAGGCACATCTGTATGAAAAGAATTAAAAAGAGAGAAGAACCTATAGGAAATCAAAATAAAAATATTTACAAAGAATGTATCAGGAACTTAAACATAAAGCTTCCTCGTATTTTTACATGACAGTTTTACTTTGCAACTATGAAACACTAAGAAAGTTTTAAAAATATTAAAAAGTTATCTAAAAACATCTCAAATTAAGATAAGATTCCTAATAGTATACTTTTTCAGATTTCTGTACTAATTACTTCCCTGAGTGGTTCAAAATCCTATGCTTTCTTCCTCGTTAAAGCAAAGGCACAGTTACAGACTATAATCATGGCTCTAAGGCAATAGTTACAATGAGAAGTGAACATATTAACTAAATATGCCAAAGTAATATATAAAGAACATTTAAAACAAAATTTTGGGTCTCATTTTTTTTTAAATGTACATGTCTTTCTTATATTAGAATCAAACATAGCTACCAATTACTTAACTAAAATTATTTATTGTTAATATTAGTAATAGCTTTTAAAAGTACCTTGATCTCTGTGTTTCTAAAATTTTTCCCAGTCCATTTATTGATCTGAAATAAATATAAAAATGAGGAGGGTAAAAAAGTAAATGTTAACTTTTTAAAAAACCACTCCACATTATTTCTGAAACATGATGTATATACAAGTATTATCATACAGCTAGAGAAAATAAACAATAAGAAGACTTACATTTTTTTACAGTTTAGGTTTTTCCTTCTAATCATAAATCAGGTATATTCCACTTAAGCAATCAAACATGATACATAAAAATCTACTGACTCACTAGACACAACTGACAGACTAGAGACTATTTTGTGTTTACATAAAGACCCTTCACTTTAGAAAAAATGATTCATAAATAGCCAGTAATTCTAATGTTCTTGAAATGAGTAAATACATCAAACTTTTAACTGACACCTAATTTTCCTCAACACACATTGGTGGAAATGGCTGTACACATGCTAGAAATAAAAACCTAGTTACGAGTGGCTTTGACCCCAGCCTGTCCTCAGTTTCAGTCACACACCTGTTTTTTTAATAGAATAACTTCCCCAGTTCCCTGGCTAGGATCTCTATCGACTCTGCCAGTCCTCCCCTTTCTGGTACAGAGATAATGATGCCAAAAATATTTGTTAAATCCTTTTCAATATACTGTAGAGTATCTATTTATATAATCAATTTCACTACCTTTAGAGTTATTTGCTGACAACATTTGCTACTGTTCTCGTGGGTAAAACTTCCCAAACAATGATACTGAGGCAAGTCTCTCTACTAATTCACAAAACTCTTAATCTTCTCTTTTGAATATACTCTATAACCTGATGGCTATTACCTCTCAAATATGTTTACTTTCTTCCAACTCTTCAAATCTAATTCTGAGTCAGTCAGAAGTGTGAGGTACAATGGAGGGTAAGAAGCCCAAAGAGTCTGTAATTTATCAAAGTGCTTTGTCAAAGTCTTTTCTCGTATTGCTATACAGAACAGGCTGGCAACAATGTTCAATTGCATATTCTACAAGCAATGGAAAACAATTTTTCTTATTACTATTTACATAACAGTCTACTATGCAACAACAAAATATGTGATTCCCTGAATATGTGATTCTGTGATAACTGAAGCAAGTCAATCTTGAGCCTTAAATTTCTACAAGGCAACAGTTACAGTAAAAATATTCTGTACAATACATTTTTAATATGCAGGTACTTAACACACATTTCTAATTTTGTACCTAATAGTTGTTCTTAATTTGTTTAAATCCTCTTCTGAAACCAAGTCTGTTTTATTGATGATGATGATATCTGCCAAAGCAACTTGCCTAAATTAGCAAACAAAGAACAGATGTCAAGAGAAAGGCTAAGAAATGAAAAACAGAAAACACCTCCTCCAGATCACTTAGCAATTTAAAAGTATACAGTACTCTCTATAATAATTTGATTTACCCCTAAACTATTTATAATTCTTCAAATAGTAAGGATGAAGTGCATTCATCACTATGTAAATTAAGATTTCACATTATTCATTCAAAAAATATCTATTTAAGTATTCTTACTGGCTACTCTAAAACTATAAAGATAAGTCTCAAAAAGTTTACAATCAAGGATGGTTTATAATTAGGATGATTTTCAACTCATGATTTTCTCTGTAAAGAAATGCATAATTCTGATATCCAATATGGTAGGAACAAGGACAGTCTACTTATTAAAGTATTCCATGTAATAATTACCATAATTTTCAAAGAACAAGTTCACTTAACATTAATACTGTATTAAACATTTTTTAAAAACTACACTAAAGAAGATATATAAGGATCTTGAACAATTACCTTCATCATTACAAATATGTATTTTCTCTATAAGATAGATACACTACAGAAATTCAAGTTAAAGAATCCAGTTGATAGGACGCTGGATAACAAAATAGCTTACTGTGATTAGAAATTCTATTTTCTATGATTCTTTAAAATTTCCTCAATTCTTCAGGAAAGTTTAATCACTAGACTGCTTCCAGTACGGGTTTCCATAACAAATGCATTTTAATAAGGAAAAAAATAATCACAAAAATATTTAAGTTTAGTCTAATGTGAATCATAGCTAAATACCAAATGAAGTGTTTAGCCAGGATTATAAAAGAACAGAGTACCATATTCCAAAATGACAGGGAATCAATCACCTGCTTGGATCATCTGCAGCAAAATCTTGGCTGGGAGAAGGGAGAGCTCCCTTTTAAATCCAAAAGCATATTCAAGGACTATTGAAAGTGAAAGTGAAAGTCGCTCAGTCCTGTCCAACTTTTTGCAACCCCATGGACTATATAGTCCATGGAATTTTCCAGGCCAGAATACTGGAGTGGGTAGTCTTTCCCTTCTCCAGGGGATCTTCCCTGGGACGACTGCCTATTCCCAAACTCTTTCCCCATTAACAAGAATATGCTTAGGGTTGGCAAAATAATTTAAATATTCATAAGTCTAAAGAGAGGGCTTTCCAGGTGGTGCTAGTGGTAAAGAACCAGCCTGCCAATGCAGGAAACATAAGAGACATGGGTCCTATTCCTCGGTTGGGAAGATCACCGGGAGGAGGAAATGGCAACTCACTCCAGTATTCTTGCCAGGACAATCCTGTGGACAGAGAAGCCTGGCAGGCTACAGTCTGTGGGGTCAGAAAGAGTAGGACACGACTGAGTAAGCACTGTAGACTAAGTCTAAAGAGAATCCAATCAGGAACATAAAGGTATTTAAACAAAAAAAGTTCTAAATGTCAAACTGCAACTATTTCTGTATTGTTTCTCTGTTGCACTGAATAACAGCGAACATTTGAGTCAAATGAATTACTGTGAAAGAAGGCAGGAAGTGAATCAACTCTTGTTTAACAATCATTTTCAATCCAAAGAAACTGTATGATAACAACGAAATATTTTTAAATGTTAACAATTTACAAGTTCCTCACAAAGAACAACTGGGCTCAGCACTCAGTTTATGCTGTAATATAGTTTTAAATAAAATTTTAGTTATCAGACCATTATAAATATCAGTAATTCAAACACAGGAAAAAGATTTTCCTTGATTATGTTGTTTCTCAGTTTGTTTTGTTTTTCCTACCAATAATTTCCTTTTTCCATTTAGCCAGTAATCAGTAAATACTTTAAATAAACGAATACCTAGAAGCTTCATTGATAAGTCCATCAGGTTTTTCTTCTGCTAAATGCTAAACAAAAACAAAATTTGAACAAAAGTTACTGTGGTGTAACACACAACCTAAAGTCAACACAAAGGATTTTTATTTCTTACCTCTAATAAAAACTTCGAGTTCTATTGGTGGTTTAGTCACTAAGTTGGGTCCGACTCTTGCGACCTCAAGGACTATAGCCCACCAGGCTCCTCTGTCCATAGAATTTTCCAGGCAAGAATACTGGAGTGGGTTGCCATTTCCTTCTCCAGGGGATCTTCCCAATCCAGGGATCAAACCCAGGTCTCTTGTNCTGTAGCCCACCAGGCTCCTCTGTCCATAGAATTTTCCAGGCAAGAATACTGGAGTGGGTTGCCATTTCCTTCTCCAGGGGATCTTCCCAATCCAGGGATCAAACCCAGGTCTCTTGTACTGCAGGTGGATTCTTTACCAACTGAGCTACCAGGAAGGTCCATTAAGTTCTATTACTGAATATCCAAATTCAGGACTAACTTTTCTATCTGAAACCATTTTCTTTCTCACTTGTAAATTTCTTCCTACAGTGAACCTGTGGGGTTTTTTGAGGGGAACGTGAGGAATAAGGGCTTAAATTTTGTCCTCTGACCTCTTCTTTTTCCTAAATGGAAAACCCTCCAGATTTAAATAATGTCATAAAAACAGAACATTATAGTTCAGAAATCAGGCATTTTCCTTTTTACAAAACTGTCCTTGTCCTAAATATTACTTTTTTTTTTTTTAAGAGATAACCACTGGAATTGTACTTTAATAGACTTCCCTCCATTCCGAGCCCCACCCCAGAACCAAGCACACTGTGAACTCGCACTGGGCCCTTCCAATTCCCTAGAAACAAATGATCTGTGAGAAGGACACAGTCTTGATATTTAGAAAAAGTCAGTTAACATTTTGAAACCTACACTTGAATGATCTGGCCTCTCTGGTTAACTTTATTCTGCACCTTGCCAGAGTCAAGCTAGCACCAAAAATACTTTGACAGAGAAGTCCACAGGACAGTTTTGATCTCTCTGGGAGTATATATTATTTTTCCAAAATCCTATTTATATCCCTAAAGTCACCAGTGTCATAACGTTCTCTAAAAAATGTTTCACCTTCATTACCTTAACCTTCAACAGATGTTCTCTGTCACAAGAAAAAGTTGCCTACTAATGTCAGAGGCAATTGATTATATAACATTTTTTGTATTTGAATTGAACTCCACAAATTATTAAGTCCTTTTATAAACATGGTCTCATTTATCCCTAATAACAATTATGGGGAATGACTATTCTTATTTCATAAAAGATAAATCTAACACTGTCACCATCACAGGATACCTATTCATAGGGTGATTTTTCAAAAATTTCAAGAGGACTCAATAGAAGTAAAATGAACATAAATTTTAAAACCTTTGTGAAAGCTTTTAATGTCATATAAAGTCATTCTTGTATGCTGCTGCTGCTGCTAAGTCGCTTCAGTCATGTCTGACTCTGTGCGACCCCACAGACGACAGCCCACCAGGCTCCCCCGTCCCTGAGATTCTCCAGGCAAGAACACTGGAGTGGGTTGCCATTTCCTTCTCCAGTGCATGAAAGTGACAAGTTAAAGTGAAGTCACACAGTCGTGTCCGACTCAGTGTCATTAATAACTGCATAAAAGTATATGCATAATGATCACCTAAAATTATATTCAAAATTATTTCATCAAATCAGTTTTACAATTCATGAAGAGGTAGATCATTAAGGTATTTGGATAACTGGAACCTAAGAGCAAGCTGGTAATCCTTTTATTTACTAGTCTTGGTAAAATCTATAGAGAAAAACTTTTTGTCTCCTAAAAGTTGGCCAAATTCTATTTTTGGGGAAACCAGTCTAAACTAAAACTAGAGTAATGATGCACTGATTCCACTTTAGGTGCAAAATGATACTACTATAGGTGCAATCCTATAAATTCAACTGGCAGGCTAGTCCACAGGGTTGCAAAAAGTCAGACATGACTGAAGAAACTGAGGATGCATGCCGAATAGATGAGTGGACGTTGTTACCTGAAGAATACTGCACCAAGTGCAGCAACAAACCCCGTTCTAGTCAGCAGGAAATTTATTTAACAAAGATTCATTTTTAGCAAGGCATCCGTCTCCGAATGATCCTATAATACTCAATTCTTTAAAAATTTTGAAATAGTTTCAAAATATTGTATTTTGATCTTTTGGAAGATTTATTTACATATGAATTTGGGGCTTTTCAGCTGTGAGCTGGAGGAGTGTGAAAAAGATATAACAGGAAAATCAGAGATTTTTTAATTTCCATACCTAAACATAACAAATAATATAGTATTTTCACAAAGTAACTCATGTTTTTAATACATCCAGTCTCCAGAAAATCAGAAATTTTCACTTGAAACTAATGGGGCATCTACTCTATCTTCATAAGATTAGAAATTTTCACTCAAAGCTAACATGGACTGGACTAACGTTTTATGATCTCGAGGAAGTCAAGAAGCATCAAATACACAAACATATTAAAATTGCCCCAAATAAAAACCTACCAATAGGTACAATTCTATTAAGAATATGATATGTAATAAACATATAAAAAAGCCAAGAGATAAATGCCCCTGTTCTATGTAAATATGAAGGCTATACAAACATAAACAAATAATAAATGCACATTAACATTTATTTTCTCTGGCTATCAGCTCAACATTTCCTTTATGCAACTTCTTACCTTCACAAGTCAAACTCTGCAAAAAGACTAAAACCAATGTCTGCGATTCAAAAGGACACTTTCCAGTGACTTACACCATCAGTCATTAAGTCAGAATACTCCCATTTACAAAGTTAAAAAATAGAAACTGTGACATTCTATCCTATCTGTACAGGTAAGGAAAAAAGCATTTTTGCAATGTTTTTTTCAAAATATTTTATGTGTGTGTATCCCTAACAGATCCCTCATCACTGCTTAGAGACTGGCTTTTGCTTACATATCAGAAAAGATTTTTAAAAATCTGGCAGTATTCAATCCAACATATCAAAAAGGTTAAGGTTCCACCGTCTAACTTAGCATAGCATAAAAGTAAATCCTTTGAAATAACTGTATGATACAACTGTATGATACAACTTCAGGAAGGGTTTAGAGGGTGTCCTTTTCTACAGAAATAGAAACAGGCTGGTAGGAAAGAAAGAAAGTAAAAAACACTGTTTTGACCAAAGTAGAAAGAAATCTAGTGTCAAAGATGTCAGATGACACTAAAAAAAAAAAAAAAGCAGGGGCAGCTATTTCTTTCCAATGGATTGGTTATAGCTAACGCTATTTTAGCTTTTAAAAAAAAGATTATTGCATAATGTCAGTCTATTTATTTTTCTGGTCTTTTCTAAGCCAAACTGTTTACTGACTGCATTGTTTCAACAGCTTGTGCAATTTAACAGAAGAACCAAAAAGAAACCTCTGACTTGACCTTTTCTGTGTAACTTCATTCTTTGATTCTATTGCATTAAATGCTGTCACATTTGTAGAACTGAAAAGGACAATGTCAGTAGGCTGGGTGTCAAGTCCTAAGAATAGAGAGCTGTCATTTGAAGTTGTCCAATTCTTTGCCCATGATTAAAAAATGAATATTTCAGATCAATGGGTGACAATCCCATTAGAGTGATAGCCCATGATATCAATTACCACTTCAGTTTCAATTTGGCTGGCTGGCCACAGGGTACCATTTCTCAGGTTTACTTGTGATGGGCTGGCTCTGTGAAGCATGACACCCTTAAATTGCTGCCCATTATCCAAGTGTCATTCCTTGTACTGCCTCAGAATTCTCTGAATCACAAGCAGCTCCTGAGGTCAAGCTTTGCAACCAGAGGAATTGGACAAGTTGGCAAATTCTTTATACAAAGGAAAAGTTATTTATTTGGCACCTGACTTAGAAAATCTGAAGTTTCCATTATCCTGACAGTATGTCAGTTTTGTGTAGGTATATTGATTTAATAATTTAAGAGGTTTTATCAAGGTGGCAGGGGGTTAAACGTTTACTGTGTTTGCATTATTCAGAATGCTGCTTTGCTTTTTTTGGCTTCTATCACACTCATAATAGATTCTATTTAACTCCCTTCCACACCCAAATATACATAAATACATAAAGAGTTTTATTTGGAGAAAAGCACTTTTAAGCCCATCAAAACAAACAAAAAAAATCCTGCTGTCTATCCTGTAAATCTTCCAAATTTGGTAATAAACTTATATAGCAGATCGATTCAAACATGCTCTTTAATAAACATTCAGAGTGAAGAATTTTGACTTTTTTTTGTTTTGTTTTGCTTCTTCTGTAAACATTTTACTAGAAATATCATGATTTCAGGATACCTGGAATATTTCAGAGTAAAACTATAATATTTGGGATCTTTCTTTGGTTCTTAAAGACTATTAATAAAATCTGACTTAACATCTAAAAAGGAATTATTTCCCAAACTTCGCAAATTAGGGTCTCTCTATTTCTGAGGGAACTGAAGGGCCGATGAAGGGGTACTGGTAACCCATTTAACAAGCCTGCCATCTTAATGTTATTGAAGGTTTGGAAGAAAGACAAACTTGTTCAAATTAAGAAATTCAGTTATAATGTGGGATAGAACACAAAATGGACGTGAATTTTAAAACATTACATTTAAACTTCTGAGAAATGATTACTCTGAGCATTATCCATATTCCCAGACCAGATCAAGAGATGGAGGATAATTTCATTCTCTTCTGCCTTTAGTAATAACTCAGAAAGTTGAGAAACACTACTTTATACAGCAATATGCATTTTAAAATCTGACTATTTTTCATTTTGTAAACTGAAGTTCATTTAAATGCATTTGAGCACCTTGGTAAGCTACAAAAACATTCACAGCAAGATGCCTTTTAAAGGGGAGTTTCTCCTCCCAAACCTAGGCATAAATCCTGATTTCTTCAAAATATGGCAAAGCAATATATTTTTAAAAAACTCAATCATCTCCAGCTTGTGTCTGACAGCAGTTTAACAAGAAAAATAAACTCTCATATGCTCATATCAAGCTCAATTTCCTCTATCAAACAGAAAGACTTATCAATATTGGGGCTGAATCCTAGGGAGGGATTACACATATCCAAACTCTGTGCTATAAAGAAAGAAAAACAGAAGTCGCTCAGTCATGTCCGACTCTTCGAGACCCTATGGACTGTAGCCCGCTCCTCCGTCCATGGGATTTTCCAAGCAAGAATACTGGAGTGGTGTATCATTTCCTTCTCTAGAGATCCTATAAATTTTTCTTACTATAAATATTACACTTTCAACTTTTATCACATCAAGTCAGAGAAGGAGAAAACAAACAGTTAACTTAAAAATACAAAATAATAATTAAATGAAATACAAATTTCATCTATTGTTCAGGATACTTAAAAAAACTACTTTTTTTTTTTACCATATTTGCTTTATTCCTCTTCATGTTAAGTTCCCAAAACATGATATATTAAACTAAAAATGTAAATCACTGGCTTAATACACAGTTCTCTGATAATATTACTGCCATTTTAAAAAGCAGTATCTGGGGTGGGGAGGGAGGTGGGAGGGGGGATCGGGATGGGGAATAAGTGTAAATCCATGGTTGATTCATGTCAATGTATGGCAAAAACCACTACAATATTGTAAAATAATTAGCCTCCAACTAATAAAAATAAATGGAAAATAAATAAATAAGTAAAAAGCAGTACCTTTCATATTTACAGTGGAAAATTATTTTTGTTAAGGATATTTCAAACAGACACAAATATAGAAAAAACAATATAATCAATCCTCATATACCTAGCTCTTAACAAATAATTAGTAACTCACAGAAATTTTTCAACTTACTTTTAATCCATATTTTGAATCCACAACAGTTATGATACCTACAAAGGAATAAATCTTTTCATCATTTTTACTCTTAAAAATGAAAATTAAAACGAATGCATTTCAGTTCACAAATGTCACTCAATAAAATATTGTTTCTTTCTCTTTCCAGCACTGCAATTTAACTCCATTCCATTAGTAAGTAGAGGCATTTCAAACATGTACTTAGCACTATTCTAAGGCACAAGATAGGATATAATGAAAACAAATGTTTAAAATTAAATAAACAAAAAAGAAAATAAGATTTGTCTGGCCTTTAAAAAGCTTACAATCCAAAATATGATGACATGAATTTCATAATGTAAACTGGAATGTGATAAATCACACAAGATAGCTTATCTTTAGTTTACTTTCACATAATCAAAAACAAAACTTTTCTTATTTAAAATACTGCTTAACAAATCTGAGGCATCTTAGAATATCTTATTTCTAACATCTCTCACCAATCTAACTCTTTAATCTAATTCTTTTTGTCTAATTCTCACCAATCTAATTCTTTTATCTAATATGTACCTAAATTTCCAAATGATCAATTAGTTGGGCAATCTCTGAATTTATATGCTAAATAATCTTTGGAGGGATAACAACAGAATGAATTTGATGATGCCTAAGGAATTTAATCAACTACATTTCATATATATTAAGGCCAAATGATGAGGCCCAGTTTCAGTAATTCTTAAAGTTCACCCCTTAGTCTAGGAAAACATGGTTTCCAGAAAGGCAGGGGATGTTTCAGGGGATATATGTGCCTAATTCAGAAATTTCTAATACATCTTAAAAGAAGTCAATGAACAAGACTGCCCAAAAGTGTTAGTGGGTAAGGGATAGGGAGCTTTGTTTAACTGTTACCTTCAAGGGAAAAGTAGAAATTTGATCCTCATACTATGTATGTTTTTTAAAATAAAGAGTTATATACTAACTGTATAAATTAAACATCAGGGAATATAGAAAATCTACATAGTATTTTAAAAGGAAAACCTTAATGGAAGCACTAAATTGGGAGTTGAGATTACAATGGACATCTGGTTCTAATCCTGTTTGGGACTTTAGAATCTGTTCAAAGACTTCATCATCAAACCAAACAAGCTTAAAAAGAGTATCAATACAAGGAATTAGAAGTATACAATGAATAAACAAAAATGATCTTAATATGAAAAATTCATTTCTAAACTTACCATCAAGATAAATATCAACCCCTAATTCAGCATCAACCCAAAACATAGAAGCTACAGCACCTGAAAATATATAATAGTACTCATCAAATAAAAACATTTCTTCAAACTAGGAAACAAAACTCTATCCATAATGATTTAATCTGCCCCAATGGAATTAGCAGACAAATACATATACAAATAAAATATGGGTTTTCAATCTACTTAAGGGAATTACAGTGATAGAACCATTTATTATTTTTATCCATTTCTTGCCCTCTCTTTTACTTCAATTGAAAAAAAAGAACAGGTATTATTACATACAAATACAATATCAAGCTTTTACCAATGCCATAATAATTTACCAATAAATATTATCAAATATTTTGAGCAGAATGGCTATATGTACATAGGTCTTATTTTTATTTTCTCTCTCCTGAATACAATAATCATATAGCTCACAAATAAGTATTTCCCTAAAGGAAAACAAAGCAAATACAGATAAATCCAAAATCAGTTGTTCAAATTTTTTTGTAAATTTTCAAAAATTTAAGTTTTATGGAATAAAAGTATGACAAAATTAATTAAGGCCTTACTAATAAATCCTTACACTATTTATTAGTATGGTATATAAAATGTAGAGAATGTTTTGAGGAAAAATAATTTCTAAATAAGAAATTAAAACTTGTTTTTGATAGAAACTGGCTCAGCACCAAACCACACACCCTGATTAGTATGCCACAACACAAGAAAAAGAAAACTGACAGCAAAGAAAGAATTTGATTTTTCAAAGCATCAGAGGCCCTGTTAGTGACAGAGCTGTCTAAAAGAATGAGTATGGGGAGAAACAAGGATAACTGAGCTCATTCCAGTGTCTAAAGCTGTCCGCCCACCCTGACGAGATGCGGTCTCCCAAGCATCACTCTGTGGCAACAATGAAATACCTGTCAACTGTTCAGTGATTACTCATGCAGGATATAGCAAGGGCCACAGGATCTAATGGTTTCCTGATACCTATTGATTTTTTCCCAAAAACTTAATAGTTTTCCAATTTGACTGAAATAGGATTTGTGAGTAACAGGGGCTGAATCAATGCCTGTCCTTTTCAAGGAAATTACTTTACCATGACAATTATTTAGCTTAGGACTGGAGAGTGTCAGTCTTCTAAACAGGAAACAACTGAATTGCCAATAAAAATTTTCTTCACTTACTTGACTAACAACATGATTTTAATTAATGAAGGAGAAAAAGCAAATCTATTGTGAATATCACTATTCCAAATAATAAGTTATTTTAAAAAGTATTCATTTTTCCACTCAGTAAAATTCCTAACATTGTACACAAATATTTTTTAATTCACTGATTTCTATGCAGATAGCTTATAAGTCCAATAGTTAAACATTTGCTTAATATTAATTTGAGCTGTAAGACTGTATTAGAGCTTTTATTCTAAACCTGATGTGTATCTTTGGTTTAATACTTATCAAACTACATATGAAAGAACTACTTAAAATTTGGATGCAGGTGTTTAACAGGAGAAATAAAGACGAGAGAATGCAGTTAATCAGTGATTCTAAATCCAGGGTGATTTTTCTCCTCAGGGACTATTTGGCAAGGCTTGGGGAAATTTCTGGTCATCTCAACCATGGGAGTGCAGCTGGCATGTAGTAGGTAGAAGCCAAGGACTCTGTTAAACATCATACAATGCACAAGACAGTCCCCTCTAATAAAGAATTATCCAACCCAAAATGTCATTTATACCAAGTTAAGAAACTCTGAGCTAAATTACAGAATCTCCATTCTTCAAAATCTCATAAAACATAATAAACTAAATAAAATTTTTAAAGTCAAATTTTATCAGCAGCAACCAAATAAACAATCCCCTGCCATAATTTTTGGATGACAGTAAAAATAAGAAATAGAATGTTCATCGCAGCACTGTTTATAATAGCCAGGACATGGAAGCAACCTAGATACATGTAAATCCACGGCTAATTCATTTCAATGTATGACAAAAACCACTGCAATGATGTAAAGTAATTAGCCTCCAACTAATAAAAATAAATGAATACAGAAAAAAAAAAAAGAAATAGAAAGTTCTATGTGATTTATGATAGTTCTTACGTCTACCCCAAACCTCAACAAGAGTTATATAGAAATAGTTTACAAAATCCTATATTTATAATTTTATTCCAAAATCATGAGAAGTAGAACCAAGGGAGAAATAGGCAATACAGGAAAAGGTCAACAAAGAAACTTCAAGAGTAAAATTTTCTGCCTCCACATTTTCAGGGCAGAAGTCACTTTCCAGGGCTCAGAGCAAAATGGAGAGAAAGGTCTGAAGCTCAAGGATGCCCCTACAAAAGGTATGGGAAAACTATTCACAAGTAGTTTGAGCTAATTCAAGAACGGAACACTTGGTATTGTGAGAGAGCAGAGCCTAAAATATCACACTGCCCATCTGTCTGTCTCAACCACATCTTTTCTGTTTCCCCATCCCTCAGCAATACCTAGCTTTCAAACTGATACCTAAGAGACCAGCAAGTTTAGGTAATATGGGTAGGGTATTTAAAAAATTCATGAACACCACATCTAAGTAGAGACAAGTTCTCTGAGTCTCCCACATTAAGCATAAACACAGTGAAAAAATTATGCATATATATTACAGTTTAGGAGAAGCAAAAAGAAGATAAAAGGAGGAAAGGGAAAAACAAATAAATGGGGAATACCAATGGCAAAGAACCTGTTCTGGAAGGAAACATAATTGAAGAAACGAAAGAAAATTTCCAAGAGGTTTTTTTTTTTTTAATAAGGAAGATAAAAACAATATAATCTTAAATAAAAACAAGTGCTGGGAATTTTCCTGGCAGCCCAGTGGTTAATAGTCAGCACTTCCACTGCTGGCCATGACCTCGGTTCAATCCCTGGTCAGGAACTGAGATTCCACAAGCTGCGTGGCATGGCCAATAAAATTTTTTTTAAAAGAGCAAAAAGAAACAAGTAAAACACTAATTTTTTTTTAAAAGGCAAGAATTTAAAAAAAAAAAAAAAAAAACAAGCTCTAAAGCAAAATAAAGCAGAATAATGTGAAAAGGTAGTTTGGAATGCTAAAGAAATAAACTTAAGGCCAATATACCATTATTTAATGAATTCATTCATTTAAAACATCAACAGACATTAATGGAAACAGAATTACTGATAAAAAGGAAGATTTGAGATGATTACAGTAAATGCAGAGGCAAAAGGCAAACCAAAACAATTAGAAGATAACAAATAAGGAGAACAAATGAAAATTCAATGTAAGAAAAACTGGTGTCATAAAGAAGAGAACTCAATAATTTGACAGAAAAATTCTTCATGGTAATAAATAAGGAAAAAGTCCCTAAATGAAGCACTAAACCGACAAAAAAGTATATTGTAATTCCAGGAAAATATGAATGATACTGAGATTAGCCAAGTCATCCCTCAAATATTAAATAAAAGAAAGAACAAAAACATTCTCAAGCAATGAAGTATGCAAGATCTCCAGGAATACAAGACTGAAAGCTTGAAAAGATTACCAGACCATACGTGCATGCACGCTTGTGTGCGCACGCTTGTGTGCTAAGCTGATTCAGTTGTGTCTGACTCTTTGTGACTCTGTGTAGCGTGCCAGGCTTCTCTGTGCATGGGCTTTTCCAGGCATGAATACTGGAGTGGGTTGTCATGCCCTCCCCCAGGGGATCTTCTCAACCCAGGGACAGAACTCCAGTTTCTTATGTCACCTGCAGTGGCAGGAGGGTTCTTTACCACTAGTGCCGCCTGGGAAGCCATGATCATGAAGTTCAGCCAATCAAGAGACTGATCACCTCAGGAACTCACAAGTTACTGCGCTGGTAATGACAACTGAAATGGTTTAAAGACAGAACTAAGCAAAGTATGACAGAATATAAATGTCAGAAACCTTGACAACACAGCAAAGGAAACAATGAACCAAAACCAGATAGGAGAACATGGTAATGTGTTAATTCTCTCATCCTTTATGCCAGACAGTCAACAGATACTAACCTGAAACTTTAAATGTGTAGTTAAAAAAAAAAACTCGTCCAATTTATGTCCTTTATAATCTTTTATTTTTTTAACTCACATCTCTAGCAATGAAGAAGTATTTATCTGACATTCAGCAATTCTTTCACTTCTTTCAAGTTCTCTTCTAAGTGAAAGTGAATTAATAATTATTAAGAATAGCACCCAGAATGTGATCTTATTTTATAGAATTACCTTGGCATATTTACACAAAAAGCAGACTCTCCCAAACTTACGCATGTGTGAGAATCACGTGGGTGGCCTATTGAAACAGATTTCTGGGTCCTGCCCTCAGAGATTCTAATTCCATAGAGCTGAGATGAAGCCCAAGAATCTGTATTTTTCCAAAGCTCTCAGCTAAGGCTGATGCTGTCATTCAACACACCACAGCAAGCAGCCCTGGCACAGAGAAATCTTGGAATAAAACTTACCTGTTTGTATTTTACAGTAATGAGACACAGGGTAACATTTTTTTTAAACTTTCTTCTTTGTATTTTCTTAGGTACTATTGCATTTTTTTTTAATAATCAATGTTTCATTTTTAACCAAACAATAAAAGTCATTATTCTAAAGAAAGAAGAAAACATTCATCTGTTTATACCTACAATCTGTGCAAAAGCTTTCTTTGAGATTTTTATTTAATTTTTACTTCCTCTGAAAAGCCGAACTGTGTTTTAGTAAATTCACCTACTCTCAAAATCACAAGAACTTTTCTCTATACAGTGGCTATAACAAAAGACATTGATACTTTATTTCAAAAAAAGGCACACAGTATACTTCCCTATCTTACCAGAGTTAAATTAATATTTAACATCAATGTAATGGTTCAAGTCCTATCATCAGTTAGACCTCTTGGAAATGTATGAAAATGTATGAAAAATCCATGCCTAGTATCAATATAAGGACCAAAAAAGCCCAACTCAATCCTAATTTGAAAACACAGGTACAATGTTATTATTAAATAATTCAAAATAAATTAACAATTGATTACAGTGAACCTTCAGTGCACTCCGGTATTTCTTTTAAACAATTATGACCCCTTAGTTCTTTAATATGATTTTATGTGCAGTGTCATAGACTTAGATGAAAAAAGAAATGGGTCAGACTTACAAAACTAAATGTTCTGCAAACTAGGAATAAAATGTTACCTAAAAGTTATTTGGGTAAGAAGGAACAGAAACCCATGGTTAGAAACAGGTAGACTTTGTGTAGCTTTCAACAGGGAAGTTTAGATGTAATTCCATTCAGAGGTAAAAACCTCATAGATAATCATTATTAACTCCACACTAGAAAAGACCCAGTAGGGTTTCCCTGATAGCTCAGTTGGTAAAGAATCTGCCTGCAATGCAGGAGACCCCAGTTCCATTCCTGGATCGCGAAGATCTGCTGGAGAAGGGATAGGCTACCCACTCCAGTATTCTTGGGCTTCCCTTGTGGTTCAGCTGGTAAACAATCTGCCTACAATGTGCAAGACCTGGGTTTGACCCCTGGGTTGGGAAGATCTCCTGGAGAAGGGAAAGGCTACCCACTCCAGTACTCTGGCCTGGAGAATTCCATGGACTGTATAGTCCATGGGGTTGCGAAGAGCTGGACATGACTGAGCAACTTTCACTTTCAGGCTTGATTTAACTCCACACCTTATAATAACATTTACAATTAAAATGATTTCAAGCTTAGTAGTAGAAAAACAAATGCTAACAATTAATTTAAGGGAATAAGTATTTCTGGGATTTAACTCCAAAAGTCCTTAAACATATACCGGAAGTAGAATGTCTCCTTTTTTCCTATGTTTTATTAGATTTTTCTGAAAGTTTTAACAACTCTTCTTCCTACCAATAATCCTAAATCAATTGATAGAAACTGAAATGCTATTAACATGTTGAAATTATCTAATACTTTAATCATTGTTCATCTGCCAAAGAAACATGACTCAGTATTTTTTCTCCTTTAAATCAAAACAAAGGAAAACAAAAAATTTAATCTAGAGTAAAGCTTTAATACTCATTCTATATATTTCTCTAGTATATTTATTTTAAAATGTTTAAGAACTATATTTTGGTTTTTAATAATGACATTTCTTACCAGGATCTGCTAATCCGGTGGTCTCTAACAGTATGTAATCAAATTTCCCTTTCTTCTTCATCAAATTCTCAATAGCTCTAAGGCCATTGTCCCTGGAGAATACCAAAACATGACATACAGTTGATTGCCTGAATATTTTAAAGTGTTCATCACAAACATTTAAAAATATATTTAGCAACCAGGGATAAAAATATCTTCAGGCATGCAAAAATTTACTTCACTCCCAAGCTTCTAACAACATGTCTATCTAGTTTCATCAGTTTTGGAGAGTGGAGAGGAATGGATGCACATATGTTGACAAGTAACAAGATATTAGATAAAAGCAGAGGGAATTTTAATTTACTGGACTAAAATAAGTCAGAACCTGTTATTTTTATAGCTTTATGAAAGAAAAAGGTCAATACGGAAAATGACAAAATGTATGAATTACAGTAGCTTAATAGAACAGCTAAATACCTACAATTTTATTTATATACCTACCTTTTATTTCTGTTCTGAATTGGGGTAGTAGGATTTAATTTCCATTTTTTCTTAGTAATATTAGAAACACAAGAAAACATTTAATTTTAATTGGCTAAGAAGACCTGTTGTGATTTAGCCTTCATAATACACAGTCAAAACTCACAGTCAAAACATCTAAGATAGTAAATGATGCAGAAGAAATATAATTCACTGGACTATACAAAATCAACAACACAGGTATTAATTTTCATAATTTGCTCAACAAACTTTTGAGTGACTACTATGTGTTATTCCTTTTCTAAGAGCGGTTATATTGGTGAATAAAACATTCACCTTCCTTGAAACAACTATCATTGATGGAACATGAAGTGAGGGTTTTTTTTGGGGGGGTCATTTATATTGTTTTTAGAGGTTGAAATCTTGGAAATAAGACCAATAACTTATTACATTCAGAATAATCATTTTTTAAACATAAAATGAGACTTTCATGCACCACAGGGGTCATTAATTAAAACTTGATGTCAAAAACAACAACAAAAATAAAATTCAATAAAATGACCACAGCATTAGAGCTAAGACAGTGAGGAACACTTTAAGAAAATGTATCCTAATCTTGGTTCAAATAACTAGATATGAAGACTTATAATGTCTTTTAGTCTTAATTCCCTTATATGTTCAGAAGTTAAAATAATATTCACCTGCAAGATCTATATTGTGAATTAACATGATTATCAAAAACAACTAACAAATGTCCGAGTACCTAAAATTGAGACAATATTTTCCCTTAATCATTATGTGTTAAACTTTTAGCATTTAAGGAATAAGATCATTTTAAAAATGAAAAACAAAAGCCTGCTATTTATCTCTTAAAACTGAATTAATGTGAATAACTGAGAAATTTAGAAAGGAGCAATATTCGTGAGAAGTCCACAGTGACAACACTGCCCTAATGTATGGAATAGTATTAAAATTAATCAATTTCCATCTGTTAAAAAAGAAAAAGAAAATACATCCTAATAGGTGTATCTTCTATTCAAAATACAATGAAGAAGATTATGAAGATTCTGTTAATTTATGTAAGAAAATCAAAGCTAGAAATATAACCAATAAACATTTATAGAAGCCAACAAGCACAGAGTATATCCTTTTCTCACTTTACGGAACAGCAGAGGCAACCGTTTCTAAGTTCCAGCCATTCTTCGTAGAGTTCTCCACCTTGGCTGACAGCTAAGGATTTCTCCACTGCACTTCCTAGAATAATTAACAGGAAGCACTCTTTAGATTATGTCCACTCGTCAATCAAAAACAAAGATGAGAATACTCAATAGTACAGCAGATTTCAAAGCAGAAAAATATATTTCATAATTTGTATTCTTTCTGTTCAGGCTATCTCAATATTTTAAACTAACTACTCTAGATTATTTTATTTTTTCTTTCTTTAAGAGGATTTAAGCCCCTAAAGAGACAACTGCAAAATTAATGAAAGTTATCTACTTCCTCTGTAGGCCTCTTACTAGACTGCTCCCATTTTCTAACAAAATAGCTATTTTAAAGGCATTCTTTGTTGTCCATGGCCAATTCTCTAGATAGACCAGTATGTTTATATATTGGTTTTTATACATATGCCTTTCAGTCTCTTGTGTATTTTTTTCATTCTTTCTCTAAATTGTTTCAGTGTCTACTAGACAGATTGTTCAGCATTCCTGTATGAGTAATACCCATAGTTCATTTTAAGGAAGTTTGCTTGGCCAGGGTACCAATGTACTCACTTAAAAATTAAATTTTAATCAAATACACACATGTTTCTTAGCAATGCTTACTAGAGAAAAAAATAAAGTATATATGAGAGTTTGAGATGCTTGTTATCAAATAAGAATGATTTAAAAAATCTTACATTTCCTCCAACAAAGAAACATGCCCAAGCCAGGAAAGTTCTAAATATCCATTAAAGCAAATGATAAGGAAAAAAAACTGAATAATTTTTCACTGATATATATATTATGTTTAAGTTTTAGTTAGGCAAGGGGTTGCTACAGAACTTAGGGTGTAGAGAACATTTATAAAATGAAAAGGAAAGTACTGCAAATGCTCTAAAGGACAAAGCTGTTTTAAAAAAAAAAGGTCCAGAAAGACTGAAGAAAAATAGTAACATATGATAATAAATGTAATCAGTGTCCAACAGAAGATCAGTTCATAAGAAGTTAAAATAAAAACTAAGATTAAAAAAATCTTATGATTTTTATTTTTGTCTGACAGGACTCCTTAGTTTACTGAAATCCTCTTCAGTTTATTCAAACCAGAAATCTAGGTCAACTAATAGGCCTCACATTCTTCTCATAAACTTAGTTCCTTTACTAATTTGCAACTGAAAAAAAAGTAATTTAAGAAAAATTCAAATGAAGTTATATTTTTTTAGCTGAACATGAGCTTTTACTGAAATTCACACCTGAGAAGAAAAACTTATAAAAGTATTCAGAGAAGTATGTCTAACACTGCTGTATAAATTTCTTAAAACACAGTTCAGTAAAGACAAAAAACTGGAAAATACACATATTTTCACAGATAAGTGAAGTTGCCTGAGGATGGAGATCACATATTTATTTTCTAAGCCTTCTGTTTTAACAGCTTTGCAGAATAATAAACATTCAATAAGATAAATTTATAAGACAGAAGTATTTTCAAAACCTGCAATTAAACAATATAGTCAGCACAAAAGGATCTTCCTAATTGGTACAAAAATCTTCCTGAATGATTTTCTTTCAACTCCTTAGATTTTTACTTCTGGAGTATTTATGTAAAAATCTAATTAATTCTGCTGGTATGAATTCTAAAGTTATACAAAATAAAATTTTATAGAAACAATCTGATTTCAGTATCTCAACTCCATACAAAATAAAGCTTGACATAAATGAACCTAATTTTTCCAAAACTATCCATAGCAATGTGTTCACATGATAATAACCTTGCACTTTCATTTCTGCATATGGAATATCAATTCACCAGCTGAATTAACTATTCAATACATTCTTATAGCATGGCATTTATTGAACTTTACTTACCTTCCCCAAATTCATTTAAAATCACTGCTATTCTTTTACTATGTTGCTCTGTCAAAATATAGTTAAGAAGTGTTGTCTTCCCAGCACCTATAAAATACGTTTGTTTTAAATAACAAAAGTCAAAAGACTAATTTTAAAGGGACAAAAAAGTTTAAAGAGTTCTAATGCTCTTTAAAATGTGCATGTTATTCAAATATTATTTAACGATGGTAACATAAGATTCTAGAGGAAAAGATTAAAGTACCCTTTGAAAACTATTAAAAATGCTTTATGTCTTATAAAATTTTACAAATATTTACAAACACTCCAATAAGGTGACTCACATACCTTTCTTTGATCTCATATGACCAAAAAAAAAAAAAAAACAAAGTCTTCTATATAACTTAAACAATTAATGTCAGGTTATCTAAATTTTCTATTAAATAAGGAATTACTGAAGTAATGGTTCCTGGGGAATAAAGTAGCCATTTAGTTTATAAAACATAAAGTATTTAAATCCCTTTACAGGATGACAGTGTTTCTTAGCCAAGAATAGTTTACTTCCCCAAAATGTACACATAAAGACCTACCTTTTATCTTAACCACATACAAATTCGGAATGTCTATATGGCTGTTTTTAGTATGCTTAAAGCAGTCTATAAAACTGATTTGACACACACACAATGGCGAATGGACCTAGGAAATGTTAACAAAAGACACAATAATCACATACTAGAAAAGTTCACATAGCTACACTAACTCTATCCAGTAGGTGGCATAATACACCTAAATACATTCAGCTCAAGCAGAAGGAAAAAAACATTGGTCTTGTGAACATCCATAGAGGGGTAAAAAAAAGATAAATAACCAACCTTAACTGCATATAGATAGTAGTGTAGTCAATTATATAAAAATGTAATTTATTTACATATTTTTCTGTTGGTGGGCATTCAGATTGTTTCTAGTGTTTTGCTATTACAAACAGTGCTGCTAAAAAGAACTTGTGTACATGCATACAGATTGTACATATCTTCTGCAGTAACTTTACAAGATTTCAGGGTATAACTAGGAGGGACTTACTGAGTAGTAGGATATTAATACCTTCAACCTTTGGGGGCCATATATGTATAAAAGTTATTGAAGGGATGTAAGGCTTGTGTTCAGAGGGATTTAGGAAGCTCAATATCACTAAAGGTCAATACTCACAATGGAAGGAACAGATCTTAAGGACACAGAGCAATAAGGACATTCTTAAAACCAGTCCAAATGTGAGACAAGGGCCCTGAGCACGAGCGCTGAACTAAGCAGTGGCAGTGAAAATGGAAAGGATGAGGTGGCTATGGAAGGCTTTGTAGAATTACTAGTGCTTTATAGATAACTATGTGTTTGTGTTCAGTTACATCCGACTCTGTTCATGGACTTTTCCAGGCAAGAATACTGGAGTGGGTTGCCATTTCCTACTCCAGGGGATCTTCCTGACCTCAGTAAAGAGGCAACCATGCCACAAGATGACAGAGTCAACAGATGTACAAGATGTCGTGGAGCACCTAAGAGGGACATCTAGCCAGAGGACTAACAGCAAGAAGAATGTCCTCCTGGGGCCAAAGCACTTGCTCTCTTTAGAAGTAAAAGGAGTTCACTCGGCTGGGCCACAGTTTCTCAGGCTAAAGAGGTTGTCAAGAACAAGATTATAAACTCATGCTAAGGAATCTGAACTTTAACCTGAATAGAAACTGCTGAAGGGTGTGACAAAATCAGATTGACATACATAAAGATCACTAAGGCTAAAATACAGAAAACATATTAAAAGGCAATATGACTCAAGACTAGTTAGGAAGCTTTTATAATATTCCAAATGGTTAGGATCACAGAAGCAACCACCATTCACGACGGGATGCTAACATGAAGTTTTGGACATGCAGAGTTTGACATGTCTATGGAACATCAAAATAGAAATCACCTGGGTATGAAGTTAAAAGAGAGGACAGAGAAAGGATTAAAAAAAATTTTTAAGGGGAAGCCAGAAAAGTAGGTGGAAAATCAGAAGAAAAATGTGATAGAAACCAAGGGAACAAAAATGCTCAACAATAAGCAGGGAAACCATCTCCGAGATTCAGGAATGAAGTTGGTAGTGTGAGGCCTCACTCCTAAGCTTCAGACCATTTTATCTGCTGTGCTCTTCTGATCTACCGGTGAGCAAAACGGGGAAGGTGGGGAAGGCAAGTCTAAACTATATTGTTTCAGAACAAAAATTTGCTCAACTTCACAGTGAAACTGCATCTGAATAACACTGGGGAAATTCCTTTACAAATAAATAAACTCCTTTATAAAATTAACCCTGAGTAAAAATGAAAATAAATTTAAGTCTACAAAGCAAGAGAGAGAGAGAGACGGAGTCATGCCAGTGATTTAATTCCTGTTTTTATGTAAAAGGCCCTCAGGTGCACCAAGTTTATACTTGTCTCTAGCAGCATCCAGAAATGGTTCTCTTTTCCCCAGATCATTTCACTTCTTTTCCCCATACTTTTAATATGGTATTTATTCTAGCCCTTCTATTTAACTGTAGTTTTAAAATGATACTTCTCAAACTTTTCCAATAAAGTACTCCTAGTATAAGCACATAACCCGTCCTTCAGGAAACTGCTCTGTTTACAAAGTTATGAATTAAGTGACCCCATGAACTCCTGAAAAGTCCTTAAGTTTGAGAAATATAGTCTCGGAGGACACCGTAATTTTATTCTCTTTCTCCGACAGTACGTTACAAACAGATATTTTTTTTTAAAAAAAAGGTTGCGACAGAGTAGGCACGAAAGGCAAGAAGAAACTGGCTGGTGGGGAAGGGGAATATACTGAGGAAGAGCCCTTGGCCGTTTTCAGAAAGGACACCTTTAATGGGAACCTACTTATAAAACATACGTTTCTTGCCCCACTAAGCACAAGAGAAAAGCAAACTGAGCCAGGTGGCTGGTATTAATTCCATTTTCAAGTGAGGCAGTGAACTTCAGGAATTCAACTTGTTAGGGGTCACATGCATAATAAGGGGAGGGTCCGTGCTTCACACTGCAAAGCTAGAACTAGTTTTAAAAATGCGAGGCTAATTTTCAACCTCAGTTGATAAATGTGACCCTAACGCGGAGGGGTATGAGCATCATTAACCCATGAGAAGAGAAGGCACCCGTATGGGGAGCAAGTGACCCAGCCCCTACCCTCAGCGACATTGGCCGTCGGCCAGAAGGCCCGAATGCCTAAGGAGAAGGGGCACCATCAGCCCCCAAATCCCAGAACAGCGTTCACTGAACTTTCTGACCGGGATAGTTAGTTACCTAAATACCCGGTGATAATTGTGACTGGGATCTTAGCGCCGGGGGCAGACTTTTCCTCCTCCTCCTCCACCTCTCTTTGCTTCGTCTCAATGGGGACCAATTCAGGACAATCCTCTTCCGCCTGCTCCTCTTCCTCATCCGCAGAGTCAACAGCACGAAACATCTTGCAAACAGCACAGCTCACCTCTCCCTACCCTCAGGACCTGGGATGAAGACCCCCACAACCAGCAGCTGCGCACGCAGAACGCGAGGCGCGTGCTTGACGTCATCACTTCGCGACGCGTGGCGGTCCCGGTCCCGCCCCCAGTTACCTGGGCTCAGGACCGCCACGCCTCTTAGACACGCCCCTGAGGGAGCTGGGCACGCCCCTAGGGCGTGTTCTATGAACGTGGGCGGAATTGTCAGGACCGTACCTGATATCATGTCTGTGTGAGACTGCAGCCTTTATAGCTAATGGACGGTTAGTGGCAGTGTTGAGGCCTTGAGACCAGGGCGGTTGGAATCTGAAGAGTAGCCCGTCCTAAACAGCTCCCGCAGGGAATAGGCTACATCAACTTGACATTTCTTAGTATCATTAAAAATATTTTTTTAATTCATAGGAGAAAGAATAGGAAGCTGTAACAGTACAAAGGTAATTGTAATTTTTCTACCTGAACCAGTGAAACTTTTTTCTATTTTATAATCGCAGGTTTTATGTTTATCCAAATTTTTACTGTGTACGTGCATTACTTTTATTTATTTTATCATCTCATTTTTAAAAATTTGGTCTCAGTTACCCTGAGTTCAAGCTTCCTTGGTGTCTCAGACCATAAAGAATCTGCCTGCAATGCAGGAGACCTGAGTTCGATCCCTGGGTCGGGAAGGTCCCCTGGAGAAGGGAATGGCTACCCGTTGCAGTATTCTTGCCTGGAGAATTCCATGGACAGACAAGCCTGGCAGGCTATAGTCTGTGTAGTTCAAAAGAGCCAATCAGGACTAAGCAACTAACACACCCTGAATTCATTTATTCATACATTCTTCAGTGCCTGGCACTGTCATCAATAATCCATAGATAGTCTGGACAAAGAATGCCACCTGCCATATCAGTAAACCAAGTTTTTTGCAGACATCAAGTCATTAACCTCTGTGGCTACCCCAGCAGTGCATCCTAAGGGGATTCAAGAAGGAGGAAAACAGGATACTGGCCCTAGGTAGTTAAGGTATATATCAAAGGAATGATTTAATTAAGCCCAGACTCTTGTAACCACACACAAAGAAAAACCACTAAATTTTTTTGTGTGCTAAGTCGCTTCAGTCACGTCCAACTCTTTGAGACCCTATGGACGGCAACTTGCCAGGCTTCTCTGTCCATGGGATTCTTCAGGCAAGAATACTGTAGTGGGCTGCCATTTCCTACTCCAGGGGATCTTCCTCATGCTCCCAAGCTTAAGTCCTCATGAATAAAACATAATTCTCAACTTTTAGGCTGTGCATTTTTTTAAGTTGGCAACAGCCCTGCTTTATATTTACATATATATTTATGTATATTTGCAATGAACGCCTTTGACCTCACTTCTAACCCAAGAACAGTACCAAGAAGGACAGCTATTCATGTGACCATTCATTCCTAGTCTAATGCTCTACCTCTCCTCTGAGATAGTAACCACTACTGTGAATGATCATGGCTGACTTATTTCCTCTTTTCTTTTTAGTTCTATCACTTATGTAAATATGTACTTAAACAATATGTTGTTCAATTTTTTCTTGTCTTTGAATTTCATATAATATTCTAGGGTTAGCTAATTTTTCAACTCCACTGTTGTATTATATTGTTACATGACTCATCAGCAATTTATTTATGCGTTTCCTATCAGTCATTTTCAGGTTTTGCTCTCATGAACTGCATTGAGTGACCCTTCAGCATTGCTTCCTAAACAGAAAAAAACTGTTTCAACCCTAATCACCTTCTCTTAAGTACTCCCCAGGCAAGTTCTTGCAGATTCCCTTACATGACCCTGGCTGAATGTTACACTAACATCTCTTATCTCTCACCAGGAGGAACCAGTGCCCTATAGCAACTCAGTAAGATGATGGACAAGTATGCTGTAACAGTATGTAGCTTCAGTCAGAGCAAAAAGAGTTTTATACAGCAGTCAAAATGTCTATCAACTGGCGCGCGTGCGTGGCGGCGTGCGCGCTTGCGTGCGCGCTTGCGTGCGCGCTTGCGTGCGTCCTGGTTTAGTGCGGTACCGGCCCAGTGGTCACCGGTGCAGAAGTGCTGACGGAACGGGCCGAGGCTGGCCGTCTGTGGGAAGAGAGGCGAGGTTCAGGTCTTCTACGGTTGCAGTGAAAGTTTCTTGAAAATCTTGTTTTGATTGAGTCTTTAATATATACAACATAAAAATGGCTTCAAAAAGAGCTCTGGTCATCCTGGCTAAAGGAGCAGAGGAAATGGACATGGTGATCCCTGTAGATGTCATGAGGTGAGCTGGAATTAAGGTCACCGTTGCAGGTCTGGCTGGAAAAGACCCGGTACAGTGTAGCCGAGATGTTGTCATTTGTCCTGATGCCAGTCTGGAAGATGCAAAAAAAGAGGGACCTTACGATGTGGTGGTTCTGCCAGGAGGTAATCTGGGTGCACAGAATTTATGAGCCCGCTGCTGTGAAGGAGATACTGAAGGAACAAGGGAAGAGGAAGGGCCTCATCGCTGCCATCTGTGCAGGTCCTACAGCTCTGCTGGCTCATGAAATAGGTTTTGGAAGCAAAGTTTCAACACACCCACTTGCTAAAGACAAAATGATGAATGGCAGTCATTACAGCTACTCCGAGAACCGTGTGGAGAAAGACGGCCTGATCCTCACCAGCCGGGGACCAGGAACCAGCTTCGAGTTTGCTCTGAAGATCGTCGAGGTGCTGGTCAGCAAGGAGGTGGCTGACCAAGTGAAGGCTCCGCTGGTTCTTAAAGATTAAAGTGGAGAGGCTTGATGATGGGTCAGAGAGACAGGCCATTTTTAATCCAGTCTCATTGTGTTCACTTTTAAAAGGGGGGCAGTCATTGTGCAGAGTAGCCGTCTTCCTCACTCCCTCTCTGTCCATTTGTGGCTCTGAAATGACAGCTATGGAGAGATTCCGTTGTATCCTCCCATTTCTGAGCCTTGATTGCAGAATAAACAGGGCGTTTAGCAAAAAAAAAAAATGTCCATCAACTGATGAATGGATAAACAAAATGATATATCCCTATAATAGAAAATTATCTCACAATGAACAGAAATAAAGTACTGATTCCTGCTACAAGGGACTTCCCAATTGGCTCTAGTGGTAAAGAACCCACCTGCCAAGGCAGAAGACATAAGAGACACAAGTTCAATTCCTGGGTTGGAAAGATCCCCAGGAGGAGGGCATGGCAACCTACTCCAGGATTCTTGCCTGGAGACTCCCAGAGAGAGAGGAGCCTGGTGGGCTACAGTCCATAGGGTCCCAACGAGTTGGACATGACTGAAGGGACTTAGCATGCATGCACCTGCTGCAAGATGAATGAACCTCAGAAGCATTATGCTGAGTGAAAGAAGGCATTCACAAAACACCACATATTGTTTTCACTCCGTGTATGTGAAATGTCCAGATAGGCACATCTATAGAAATAAAATTGATTAGTTGTTACCAGACACCAGGGGACTGAAGGCAGTGACTGCTAATGGGTACATTTTGGAGGTGATGAAAATGTTCTAAAATTGCTTGTTGGGCATGGTAGCACAATTTTCTGAATGCACTATAAACCACTGAGTTGTACCCATTAAATAGATGCATTGTTCTGTATATGGATTTTACCCTAATAGAGCTGCTATTTTAAAAGGCTTCTGGAAATTCCCTGGATGTCCCGTGGTTAGGACTCTGAGCTTCCAATGCAGGTGGGTCTGGATTTAATCTCTGGTCATGGAGCTATGATAAATAAATTAAAGTATTTTTAAAAATAAATTAAAAAGACTCCTCCATGCATCAAAATGTGGTGCAAGTGTGTGTGTGTGTGTGTGTGTGTGTGTGTGTGTGTGTGTAGAAGCACTGCCTGCGGTCTTGCCTCCAGCAGTTTCAGCCCTGGCCTTCTGAGTAGAGTTATCATTTGTTGAGATTTCACAATTGAGACATACTTTGGTATGAGTATAAAGATCAGAGCTAAAAAGTTTTCCTTTAGTCTTTTTCCATAACATTCTTCAGCAAGATGTCTCTTCATGAATTCTATGGAGTTCTACCACTTTCTTTTCTGACTCTAGTACCTGGCCAGATTTTAGGAAGCTTATGCCTGAAGAGGTAAGGGTTTTGACTTAGTTATAAGGCTTTCGATTTCAACTCTTCCTGCATATATGAGTTTGTCTGCTTTTTGTTGTTGTTCAGTTGCTAAGCTGTGTCCGACTCTCTTTTTAGTATATGTGCTGCCGAAGCGAGCACTGTGTCCGACTCTTTTGGGACACTATGGGCTCCTCTGCTTGTGGGATTTCCCAGGCAAGAATACTGAAGTGGGTAGCCATTTCCTTCTATTTTCACAGGACCTACCAATTTTATCCATTCTGAGTGAGACATTGTTGTTGTTATTTAATTCAAAATGCCTTTTAAAGTAAGCTTTTAAAATGTCCTAAGTATAATATTGTAGAATCTTCAACACAATCTCTTCTATTCTGCAATCTATTACAGTCTATTCTAATGTTAATTTTAAAATTCCTCATTTTTGCAATTTTATTTAATCACAGTTGCTATGGTAAAACAACAGCAATGATAGTGTGTGGATTCCTTACTGAGTGATTAGGCAGTATGTTAAATATATCAAATGTATTATCTCATTTAACTCAGCAAGTTAAATATAATTTGTATACTCATTTTATAAGCAAGGAAACTGAGCCTTAGAAAAGTTAGATATCTTGCTCAAAGTCATACATTCAGTAAATGGCAGTCCTATTGCACAGTTCAGACCTTCCTGATAGTAAGTTCTGTGCTCTTCTAAACCAGGGATCTGCAAACTTTTTCTATAAAGGGCCAGGCAGTAAGTATTTCAGGCTTTACAGTCAATGGAAAAATTCAAGCATGTTATAGAGATACTATAAGAGAGAAAACAAATGTCCACGAATTTTAAAATCTGAAACTCATATAATTTTCATGTCATGAAATATCATTCTTCTAATTTTTCAACCTACAAAAAATATAAAAATCACTCTGAGCTTGCAGTCTGTACAAAAAGAGGCAGCAAGCCGTAGTTTGCCAAACTGCTAATGTAATATGCAAGGAGCTGCAAA